TTAGTTAGTTAGTTAGTTAGTTAGTTAGTTAGTTAGTTAGTTAGTTAGTTAGTTAGTTAGTTAGTTAGTTAGTTAGTTAGTTAGTTAGTTAGTTAGTTAGTTAGTTAGTTAGTTAGTTAGTTAGTTAGTTAGTTAGTTAGTTAGTTAGTTAGTTAGTTAGTTAGTTAGTTAGTTAGTTAGTTAGTTAGTTAGTTAGTTAGTTAGTTAGTTAGTTAGTTAGTTAGTTAGTTAGTTAGTTAGTTAGTTAGTTAGTTAGTTAGTTAGTTAGTTAGTTAGTTAGTTAGTTAGTTAGTTAGTTAGTTAGTTAGTTAGTTAGTTAGTTAGTTAGTTAGTTAGTTAGTTAGTTAGTTAGTTAGTTAGTTAGTTAGTTAGTTAGTTAGTTAGTTAGTTAGTTAGTTAGTTAGTTAGTTAGTTAGTTAGTTAGTTAGTTAGTTAGTTAGTTAGTTAGTTAGTTAGTTAGTTAGTTAGTTAGTTAGTTAGTTAGTTAGTTAGTTAGTTAGTTAGTTAGTTAGTTAGTTAGTTAGTTAGTTAGTTAGTTAGTTAGTTAGTTAGTTAGTTAGTTAGTTAGTTAGTTAGTTAGTTAGTTAGTTAGTTAGTTAGTTAGTTAGTTAGTTAGTTAGTTAGTTAGTTAGTTAGTTAGTTAGTTAGTTAGTTAGTTAGTTAGTTAGTTAGTTAGTTAGTTAGTTAGTTAGTTAGTTAGTTAGTTAGTTAGTTAGTTAGTTAGTTAGTTAGTTAGTTAGTTAGTTAGTTAGTTAGTTAGTTAGTTAGTTAGTTAGTTAGTTAGTTAGTTAGTTAGTTAGTTAGTTAGTTAGTTAGTTAGTTAGTTAGTTAGTTAGTTAGTTAGTTAGTTAGTTAGTTAGTTAGTTAGTTAGTTAGTTAGTTAGTTAGTTAGTTAGTTAGTTAGTTAGTTAGTTAGTTAGTTAGTTAGTTAGTTAGTTAGTTAGTTAGTTAGTTAGTTAGTTAGTTAGTTAGTTAGTTAGTTAGTTAGTTAGTTAGTTAGTTAGTTAGTTAGTTAGTTAGTTAGTTAGTTAGTTAGTTAGTTAGTTAGTTAGTTAGTTAGTTAGTTAGTTAGTTAGTTAGTTAGTTAGTTAGTTAGTTAGTTAGTTAGTTAGTTAGTTAGTTAGTTAGTTAGTTAGTTAGTTAGTTAGTTAGTTAGTTAGTTAGTTAGTTAGTTAGTTAGTTAGTTAGTTAGTTAGTTAGTTAGTTAGTTAGTTAGTTAGTTAGTTAGTTAGTTAGTTAGTTAGTTAGTTAGTTAGTTAGTTAGTTAGTTAGTTAGTTAGTTAGTTAGTTAGTTAGTTAGTTAGTTAGTTAGTTAGTTAGTTAGTTAGTTAGTTAGTTAGTTAGTTAGTTAGTTAGTTAGTTAGTTAGTTAGTTAGTTAGTTAGTTAGTTAGTTAGTTAGTTAGTTAGTTAGTTAGTTAGTTAGTTAGTTAGTTAGTTAGTTAGTTAGTTAGTTAGTTAGTTAGTTAGTTAGTTAGTTAGTTAGTTAGTTAGTTAGTTAGTTAGTTAGTTAGTTAGTTAGTTAGTTAGTTAGTTAGTTAGTCAGTCAGTTAGTTAGTTAGACATTTAAGAGCCATTGACCTTGTGTGTGGTTATTAAGTGGTGGAGGTGTGTGACAATTCTTATTTGAATTGAACTGTTTGACATTTATTGGTCAGATATAAAATGGAAGGAATATAATAACTATATTTCGAATTGAATTTGAAAATTGTTTTATACTGATTAGTGTGACTTTACAAATGAATAGAAACTAGAAATAGTTCATCTTAGCCATCTCTGACGTTAACACTGGGTGTATCATTTTGAATCTGTGCATAACCACCAATTTACTCAAGATAATAAATATACCTTGTGAATGAATTTTAACTGGCTCAACGCTGTAGGTTCACTGAATTGTTTGAAGTATTCAACGTGGATTCCAAGGCAATGAACAGTTATTTCATTCTCATATAATACACATAAATAGCATATTTTTTTCTTTCTGTTCTGATAAGAAACGCAATCATATCCCATATATTTGTGAGGATGTGATCAAATTTGTAACTTTACAAACTACAAGCTGTTTACTTTTTATGTTTGGTATAATTATACGAATTGAGATTGTGAAAACTTTTAACCAGGAGCCCTAAAATTTTGGCACATTTTTTCATCACTTGTCAATTACATTATTCTCTAACCATATCTTAAGAATTTATAACCTTTTTCCTAAACTGTCACTGCGTTATTTTGTATAGCTCATGTGTGTATAACTCTTCTACACTACCTTTTATCGAAAACATACCTAATTTTGCCAATTGGTTTATATTATTTATCAGTATAGGGGTTGTGGTGATTATTAAGTTTTTTTTATTGAGATCATAGACCGATTGATTTTAGACCACCATTGAAAACCTGGAAGCACTGGACGGCCGGTTCGTCCTATTGTGGGACTCCTCGGCGGTGCGCATCCACAATCCTGCTCGCGGGATTTCAACCCCGGGGCCTTTACTCTCGCGCGCGAACGCTTAACCTACTAAACAACTGAGCCGGCATTCAATGGTGTTAATGTCTAACTTCAAATAATCCACGAAATCACGCGACTATCTTCCATTGTACTGAAGTAGATACCTGTCTCTATGCGACACGGATTATTATGTATTTTGTTTATTTATTTATTATTTAGTACCGTGTGTGTAGTCTGAATTTTATTAACCTACATATGGGTTCCGCTACATATTAGAAATGTTTGGAAAACATTAATGACTTAATATCTATAACTTGGTCGCATTCATATATTCAATGATCGTATTATCCAAGTACTTAGTAGAATGAAGCTGAGGATTGTGTAGATTGACTAAAGTTTAATGAATCCTTATCTTTTGTTTATTGTGAGTTTGTAGTGGCTACTAGTGTAAGTGATCTGACATCCCTTACATTTTATTGATATGTTAGGTGGTTGGAGGGAGCCGATAAGAAACCTTGCGAATGAATTTCGTCCTGGTTGGTACTCGTCTTTACAAAAACCCTTCGATATTCATGGAACTGAAAATCCCACTAGGGTTCAAAACCACATGACCCACTTCGACTGTTTGAGACGTTAATTAGCGATTTGATTAGAAACCGACCTCCTGTAGGACTGAGAAATTTATTAATCTCTGAGTTCTGATAATTATCAAGTTTGCCTAGTCCTTAATGTTAATCAGAACCTGTCGATCAAGATTGAAGTTACGACGTACAGACAATTACCAACTAACACGAAACTTAGGTTCAACGTTTCCTACTGATTGCCTCTAAACATCAAAAATAATTATTTTTGTATTTAATTTTTTGAAATGATATTCTGATAGCTCATTATCCTTTAACAACAGAAAGGACTGACTGGACGTTTTCCATTATTTAGATTGTATTGGTTGTATATTTTTCCCTTCATTTTGCATTATTAATGTATTCATATATATACCTTATGACTGATACCCGAAGTTTACTTAATTTCATTCCCCTTTTCACCTCAGTCATGTTATGTATGTGTGCATGGATAGGTTACTTTAATTAAAGTGGCAACCTTAGCTTCATAGGATGTATGCTTACATTGTCATTTTTCTGGAAGTGAGAAACTGGTTTTTCAGTCATACTTAGGATTATATATGTATGTGCTTATACCCGTTAGGTATTTTAAACTGACCATTCGACTGTCTGACTACATATTCTTAAGTAATGTTGAGTATTAATAGCTACATTTGATAATAACCATTCTTCATTGCAAATCGACTGAATACAAAAATGTTAATCGTTGAAATCCCGCTAAACTTTCTTAAATTAAAGCCCTTGCCGTCAGACCCGAATTTCTCTAAATCGATCATGTATTTGATCAATGCGGGGCATAGTTCTTACGGGTTCAGGAAGTGTGGAACAAAACAACTGTCTAAAGCTCTTCATTTTTACAGTGATTTCTCATGTGATATAACATTATGCTGAAGATATTTGAATAGTTCTTCTTTATTTGGCATTCCTTTTTGAGTTTTTTATTATCACCAAAAGTGGTTTATGTGTTTTGTTTTATTTAAATTAATCAGATTTCTTATTATGCTCCTGCCAAACTTTTTATATATTTTGGACGTCTAAAGTTATAAATATTTTATGTAGTTAGTTTAATTTGTAGCTTGTATTATTCAAAGGGTACGATTGGAAACCAGTGAGCACTGGGTAACCGTTTCACTCTCGTGTAGGACTCTGTAGCAATGTGAACTCACGACTCAATCAGGTAAAAGACACAGGAACTTCAGGTATTGCTGCGAACGCTTAACTGTTATAACATCTGGGTCAGGATCTAATGGTACAGTTTTAACTTTAATCAACTTGCGATGTAGCACGACTATTGTCCAATGCTATTAATAGCAACTGTTACACTCGTCGTGTGTGAGCTTTACCACTTGCAACTGCTCATTAGAACTTCACTAACATCTTTCACGAAATTAAAGATATCTAGTGTTCTTTGGTTTTGAATGGTAATCTGTAGTGAATATAACATATACATTTAAAAATGCTTCACTAAATTACCTCTGATTTGACGAGTAATAGCCTAATCGATTGGATTTCGGATTACATATGAAAGTGATCTTTTACAATCTTGTTTATCATGTATTCACATTTTAAAAAGGATTATAGATGTTCAATTGTATAATATGGTGTTCACACAGTAAGTTATTGAATTATTGTTGTTATATACAGCTCAAACCAAATTAGACAAATCTGTCTGTGTAAATTTAACGAGAAGCATTAGTACGAGTTTATATATATTCGGTCTAGTGAAGTCGTCTTGATTTCTAATTATATATACACATGATAAAGTCACTCACATTTTAATGCCAGGTCCATTGTGTTTAGAAAAAATACAAAGAAATCACCTAATGTTTATTAAACTCTATTGATTTTGGAAAATTTCAATACGATTTCTTAATATCGTTGTATCTAACATTTGATAAATGTTGTTTAATTTTGTTTATATGTCTATTTACTTAAATAGAGTAGAGCAGTGGAGAAGTTTATTTCAAATTTGAATCAAGCATTGGATTGTTTAATTGATAATAGGAATACTACTACTAATACATTTGTTAATAGTAATTGTAACCCATTACATCATTTGTATGGACCATTTAAGCAATTACTGATGGAATTAGCCATTGTTTTGCAATGTAAACAATTTAACAGAGATTTTGTTAAATGTGAAGGTCATCGTAAACTCTTCCAACTTGTTGAATGCATTGAGTAAGTTTCACATGCATATATATATATATATATATATATATATATATATATATATATATATTGACTACTAAAATTGTATTACTAGCGTTTTCAATCTTTTATTTTGTAAGTAAATAAAAATGTGATCATTGCATTCCCTGTAACGTTACTTATTTAGGCAAACCCATGCGAAAGAGATTTGGATATTTTTGTAAACTACTTTTTAACATATAAGTAGCTAATGTTATTTATTGAAAATGTTTACGAATGTTAATCTTAGGGACCTATGTACATTATCATACCAGTAGACTTTATTAATATTTATCAGTATATAGTCGTGCAGATTGTTGAGTTTTAATTGAAATCATGAACCGATTAATTTTAGACCATCATTAGAAACCCGAAAGCACTGGACGGCCGTTTCGTTCTAGTATAGAACTCCTCAGCGACGCGCAGCCACGATCTGTTATACTTTTTTACGAAAGTCCGTAAAACTGCTTTAATGTCATGAGTCCAAGGCTCTTTCTAATATATTAGAGTCAAAAATAACTTACACTTCAATCCAAGTAATAATTTATTTACAGCTGTTTGATTACTAATGTTCCGTCTTTAACTGATTTAAATCGACTCATGAATCAATAGAAAGATTTTATGTTAACTTGAATTAATCAACACCACTAAAATATGATAACATAACAGATTTTCATAAAAGCTTAGTTTGTAGTGTTGGATTGCTCATAACGCGTGAATTCAGGGATTTCATCCTTAAATCATGTTCATGTTTGGTTAAAATGATTATCTACGTGTAAAGCTCTTCCAACTTCTTATGAAATGTCTTTGGAACTACTCAGAAAGTTGTTATATGTGAAAATTATATTTGAAATAATCTCAGCGATTGAAATTTGAATAATTCCAGCGTTTTATCCAGCTGACTTGTCTGGACTTCTTCAGGAAGTTTTTTAAAAGTTGTGAATAATGTATCATGTCGTCATTTGATGATCCTAAATTTTGCTAATAATTTCGTCATATTGAGGCAATCCGTACACGATGCATATATGTAAATGAGAGACTGATGAATTACTGTCTTAAACATCAATAGGAGGACTCAAACAAACAATACAAAATGAATTTTGTCATGTCTCGAAAAGCTTCAATATTATCAAGGCCATACGTAATTCTATTTATTATTTATTTATTTGAACACATAAATATTGGTACAAGAGAGCGCCAATATATATGCGCCACACAAAACAATGGGAATTCGAAGAGAAGTAGAAAGAAAAAAAAAGAAGAAAAAAAAAACTAAGGAACGCAAAAGAAAGAGAGAGTAATGACGAAGAGGTACAATCAGAAGAAATCTTTCAGTTAAGGAAGATACAACCACTTTTTATGAAGAAAGTAAAAGAAGGTTACAGCAGGATCGCCACTGGCTTCTATTCTGAGCCATATCTGATAACGTCTCTAGCCACTGTGTAGCACCATCTCTCGGACCCCAGCCAGGGAGTCGTGAAGGACCAACACAAGCCAGTCCTTTGCAGCTTTCTTTCATGCCACGACACCATGTCATACACTGACCACCTCTCCGCTTCTTCCAACCAGTCCCAGAGTCAGCAAATAATGCACGACGTGGAATTCTCTGGGACGACATTCGGAGAACATGTCCAAGCCACCGAAGTCGGTGTTTCAAGATGGTGACACCAATTGAGTTATCATCTCTGTGCCCGAACACACGATGCCGAACCTCTGCATTACTGACTTGGTGTTGCCACTGAATGTCAGCAATCCTTCGGAGACAGCGATGATCGAACACAGAGAGTCGTCTAACGTCCTCAACTCGGAGAGGCCAGGTTTCACAAGCATAGAGCAGAACTACTCTCACCGACGCGTTGTAGATCCGGCCTTTTACAGCCAGACTAACATCACGAAGGCGCCAAAGGTGGCCCAGATTGGCATAAGCCGCTCTGGCTTTCACTATTCGTGCATTGATCTCATCACTCACACCCCCACCAGCACTTATGCAGCTACCCAGATACACGAACTTCTCGACTACGTCTATCTGCTCACCATCCAGGGTGAGTACAGGATTGGAATCCTGCCAGTCTTGTAGAAGTACTTTGCACTTCGAAGGTGCAAAGCACATACCATACCTACGGACATTGATTGCCAACTGATTAAGTGCGGATTGCATGCCTTGGGCATTATCGCACAGTAAGACAATATCGTCCGCATACTCAAGGTCGAGAAGTCTTTCTCCAGGCAACAGATCCACACCACCATTACTTACATTCATCAGAGCTGTTTCCAGAATGTCATCGATGGCAAAGTTCTATAAATATCCTTGTTTTCTATACCTAATCTAACTTGGAAGTAGAAAGATTTTTTATGCGTAGGAGATTTCTGAGTGACTAAGAAGTGGTTAGAACCTTGGTGTCGAGTATTTGACTGTTAGATATATCAATACCATATCTAGACAAAAAAACCCAGATAACTAGTTAATAATTACGATTTTAAAAATTAACGACAACATCACAATTTGATTACATCAGTATATTGTTAATACGCATTAAATCTAGCTATTATTGTAATCACCGAGTTGATATAATGTTCAAGATGAAGGCTATTACCATCTATGCTGTTATAGTTTTGATTTTTTTCGATAATTATAAAATTACTCAATCATTACCCTTATGGTTATGACACTCATTTAATAGTAATCATCCCAATGTTACATTATTACTATTATTATTATTATTATTATTATTATTACTTATTGTATTTGATGTTCTTTTCTAAACAGTAAACTGGATAAAAAGTTTCATGATGAAATTTGGTCATATCTCTTATCCTGTCTAATTGAATTATCCAATTATGCTATAACTAATCGATTTACTATTAGTAATAATGCTCTGAATAACGATAATAATAATAATAATAATAATATAAAGTTATATCCTCATGAAGTTTGTTTTACACAAGAAAACAATGATTCTAAAAAGTATTTATCTGAAGAAATGTTAATTCAACAAGATGAAAATATTAACCAAATCCAGTACTCATCAACAATTCTACCAATGAAGAATGTTTATGGAATAGAAGAGTTTTTCAGTTGGCAATTAGTATCAGATGAATTTCTATCTGTGGTTAGTTTGTGATTTACTTATTTGATTGATTGATTGATTTTTATGTGCTTAAGTTAATTATTGTTTATAGTGACAATATTTTTCTTAATGATAAGCATTATTTTGAATTGATTTAAAGAGTATACTTATCTTCATTAATTCAATGAAGTTGTACACTCAATTAAATATTTACATCTTAGGGTTGTCACTATGTTTGTTATGACAATTAGATAACTGTAAATTTGAAACCGGTATCATTAAATTCTGAAAGCGATCGACTTTGTTTGTGTTCTTTTTATTTGGATTCATCAGTAGTAATAGTTTTGTTTACGGTATCGTGCGATTTTGACCGTTCTGTGAACGGATGAATGGTATAATAGTAAATAATTAGTGTTGGGAATTGGAAAGTATCAGTTTTCTGACATCATTTCTCACATCACTCAATATAATCTTATTCTTCAATAACCCACATTCCTTCAATGTAATGTTCCAAGTGTAACTTAATGTATTTATTTCAATTCCGCAGAAATAACCGCTAAGGCATACATTGTCTACCAATGATGTATTGATGTGTATGTTATATTTATATTATTTATATTTATTTGCTTATTATGTGATATTCCAAGTAATTGATAACTCTTAGTGAATTTTCAGTTGTGTAATATGAAATTAGAACAACAAATATAAGTGAATGACATTGTTTTCGATTACATCATCATCAGGCTTTACTCCAATATGCAGTAATATTTATATGCATATACGAAATAATTAAACCAATCAAGGCAGTTTATGAGTCAATGATAACAGTGGAATAGATCACATAAATAAACATAATAAGTAAAAAGTATAAATTGATGATGAGACGACAGTGTATTAATTGTGATAAGAACAATCAACGCTTGAATCAATGTTTCATAATGGGAATTAAGTCAACGGTGTGAAAAATATGGATGTTGGAATAACATTCATAAAAACTCTAAGATTATGTAATAAGAACGATTCAGACAGTTGGACAATGAAGCGTATATTTAGGAAAAAGTAAATGGGAGGGGGTCAAGGAAAATTAACGAAGAGAGTATGGAATAATAATAGTAAATGAAATCTTTTATCAAGGCTAATTCGACCAAGGAAGAAAGAAAGATTTTACAGATTTCTTGTAAATACAAAGACTTGGGTTGTTAGCTCGAATTCATATGGCTTCTGCTGTGTAAGAGAGGAAAACTAGTAAAAGTATGACACATCACTTTAAATGATCTACTTTTAACTACTGCATGACCGTTACCGATCAAGTGCCATAGAAACAGATCTGCGTATTGCTTTGACGATACTTTTTTCTAGCCACGAATGGAGGTGTTCACTAACTCCTTGGTTCATTTGTCTGCTAGTGCACCTAATATAGCTTTCTCCACAGGAGCAGTTGAATTTGTAGATACATATAGATTTGGCAGGACCAGGCAACTTATCCTTTAGTTAAGCAATCACCATAGACCGGGTTGAGAACTATAGACATTAGTTAGCTGCATTAAATGTTCTCTTCTTTACTCTAGTCTGTCTATCCCGTAGCACATCACTAGCTATATCTCGATTAAATCGCATCTCCAGGAAGAAAGGTTTTTTGTTTATCAATATTCAAAACACTACATTGAAGCTCACGTAAATGCTTCTTTATTAGGTTTTACCTTATAATTATTTCATAAACTGAGTATATTCAGATGGCCATAACACCATCTGTTTAACACAAACATCTTTCAGTCTTAGTGGTTTCCATGAGATTCAATTAATTTTTATAGTTTCATAATAAATCTTGTTGAAATTCTTCAAGATTGCTGGTATCATAATGAATGCTTTTTTTCAAACAGATTCGCAAATGATATCAAATTCGAATTGTGTTAAGTTATTTAACTGGAATAAAATACCAAAGTTTTTAATACAAACTCTAACTGCTTGGATGCTGCCTGAATCCTTAATAGAGTGTCTTATCCCATTAACTCTTGAAAATTCGTATTAACAGGTGTTCTATAGTTTACTTAAAATATTTTTTAAATATTTACTAATCATTATGTCTTCTCATTTCATGAGATCGTCAACGTATAACAAAATCAAATGGTATCATATGATTGAAAGGCCCGTTTGAGTCGATTGAAAAGAAACTTGGGCTTTAGAAAATATGTTGTAATAATTTCCAGTTAAAAAGTACGTGATAGATACTGAAAGATGAATAGTAGCTGGCAGTGGAATTCAGGACGCGTGTTTCATCCTATTTAGAACACCTCAGCTGAATGTACCTGCACCCTAGAGTTGATGTTCACTCCGGTGTTACATACTACTTATATCTGTTAGCATAAGTAGCATGCACCGCAGAACCACTAAGAATTAATAAGATAAACTTGTACAATTTAGTTCTATTCAACTTGAACCATTTACTGATAATTCAGTTAGTTCTTTTTGTTTATAATAACAGATCAATATTAATTTCCGGAAATACATCCATGTATGTACGTAAATGTGTGTGTGAGTGTGCAAAACTGTACGAATCACTTACATTATATGTGATATGACAGCTGTTCAACCAGTTATTGACTATATTGAAAAATAGACAAAAAAGACACCTGTTCATTATTCGTTTGTCTATTCAGTAGCTTAAATGTCCGTCTACTTATCTGTCTATCTATCTACTTATCTAAAACTACCAATTACAACATTAGACTGGTGTCATTCATTTATCATTCACATAGTTTCTGTAAATCCCCGGTCTTATTGAATATCATTTACAGAGATTTTATATTCATTTCTCATTGAAATAATAATAATAATAATAATAATAATAATAATAATAAGGTTGTTCATTATAAGCCTTAAATCAATCTAATCTGTAAAATTTAATCTCAATAAAATAACAGCCATCATCAATAATTGTGTTCCCTCCCCCCCCGAAAAAATTGATTATGAATATCTTTTTGTTTTAATTTATTTTTGTTTCTTGTGTATTCAGTTTTATTTAATAAATTTCCATTTTTAGATAATTGAACATTGTAGGAAAGAAACTAATTTAGAGTGTCTGCTAAATGAAATGAAGTTATTATTAAAAATAATTACAGACTAGTAAGAATAATTAGTGTTTATATTTTATCCATTTGTCTTTTTTTGTATGTGGCATTTGTGTTTGTATAAAATTTGTTGTTGCTATGATGTATATTGATTACTGTTAGTAAATAATAAGAAAGTGTGAGCAATATTAATATGGGTTTTAGTGGTGTTGTATTCTCTAAGTTATATGGTTTAATTGCTAAGGTTATTATTAGCATTATGGATAGTATCATCAGTGGCTACTTGATGCAGAAACTCTACAGTTAAGTCATCTAACTCAGAGAACACAATCATGCTAAAACATTCACCCGAGCTAAACATTTCTATCGTTTTAATAATATGGGTTTTCTTTATCCTATCTTAAGTCATGTCACTGGGATGTATTTTAAAATTTTGCCAACACTTGATACGATTTATATTATTAAGCCAGAAGGATGAAAAAATAAACAAATATTTGGTGTTTAGAATGTGTGGAATGTTTAAATGCTGGTTCTAGATATTGTCGATAGAAATAGAGATAACTTACTCTTGTTACTGACCCTAACAATGCTGAATAAGATGAGGGGAATTTAAAAAAAAAGAAGCTTTCTCTTCAGAAGTTAAATGTCAGTTTGTTCAATTCATGAGTATTTATTGATTGCCAGGTTGGCAAAAAAATCATATCAAGATTGACACTTTGGCTGGATTCATAACTCACCTACTCATAGATAACTTAACATACAAACTTGGATCTTTGTTTACTTGTATGATCTTGAAATATCATATAATCTGCTTACATTTCTACTTGACGTAAGTCACTGCTAACTTCGCTTATCATTTATAATGGTAATAATTTTCTCAGATTGAAATCATGAGTCAACTGAAGCTAGACCACTATGGAAAACCTGGAAGAACTGGACGGCCGTTTCGTTCTAGTATGGGACTCAGCAGTGTGCATCCACGAGCCCGCTCTCCGCGAGACTCGAACCCAGGACCTATCAGTCTCGCTCCAAGCGCTTAACCAACTAGACCACTGAGCCGGCATCCAATGGTGTTAATGTTCCACCACGTCTGTTGTGAGATATCAGCTCACTGAAGACAATGGTATACGGTGGCTGAACTTCGTGGATTGGTTGAAGTTAGACATTAACATCATTGGATGCCGGCTCAGTGGTCTAGTTGGTTAAGCGCTTGGCGCGAGACTGATAGGTCCTGGGTTCGAGTCTCGCGGGGTGCGGGCTCGTGGATGCACACTTCTGAGTCCCATACTAGAACGAAACGGTCGTCCAGTTCTTCCAGGTTTTCCATAGTGGTCTAGCTTCAATTGACTCATGATTTTAGTCTATGAAATTTCTAGAATCTCCACAATAATAATTTTCTATTTTTTTTCTAAATATTATGCAATAATTTTTTTTCTTTTCTTCCATTTATTCAAATTAATATTTTACTATTTAGTCCTGTACATATTCAATATGTTACTAAACAAACGGAACAAGGATTTGTATTGGATTTATTAAAAATGTAAGTTTCAAATGTTGTTACTATGATCAAATTTTTAAAAAAAAGTTTCTTTTGATTACAGTCAGGTTGTTTCAGTACATTTTTAAGTATATAAAAATCCAACTTCACACTGAACACTGACATAAACCTTGTAGAGAAACTGTAGTGAATGAGAACTTAGATGGGGGAATACTAAATTATTATTTAATGCAGAATGAGTGTCTTTGTAAAATATGAAAACCATGCATTAAATTACACATCTTCTTTCAATTGTTCCTTATATATTTCATGATTCGTATAATTCTGTTCTTATTCCAGTTACTCTCTATTTCACTTCCTGTTCTCTTTAATTCAATTTTCTCAATCTTATACTGATAGGCATTCGACTTTTGATTAGTGTGACATGTTACTTATATCTGTCAGAATAAGTAGCACACACCACAGAAACATTAGGAATTTCTAAATATCAGACGATTGTTTCTCCTCCATTCCAATGGCAAACTTGTCAGTAATTCTAAATTATACTCTTATGTTGGATCGAATTTAATTCTTTCTTATAGGTATATGGCGGTATTATTAAGCTAATCATATTTTCAGAATGGGGGTTTGTGGAGATTGTAGTAATTTAATAGTTGAGTTCATGAGTCGACCTAAGTTAGACTATCATAAATAAGAAACTGCCGTTTCACCCTAGTGTGGGACTTCTAAGCAGGGCGCACCATCGATCACCCATGCGGGACTTGAACCTAGGACCTTCGGCCTCGTACACGAACGCTTGAAATCTAGACCGTTCAGTCAACATCCAACAGTGTTAATGTCTAACACCAATAAATCTATGATCTTATGCAACCCTTCATTCATTGTCTGAAGTAAATAACTGTCCCTTTTTAAAGCTATTAATAACTAGTTAGCTAAGTTAGAAATTTTAAAAATTCAAGATCGCAAATTTGTATACGTACATTTTGTAGAATTCAATCAAACATTGTTGGTTATAAATCTACTGTGAATTATAATTCAATCCGTTTGGAAACATTACGATGTGAAATACAAAATCTTATTATGCAATTTTTATATGTTATATTTTATTATGGGAAACAACAAGGTCATTTGATATACTTAATACATCAGTTTTTTGAAAATATACAATTTACTGAAGTGAGTTTTTAATATTTATCTTTGCTTTTACTCTTTGGTTTATCTAACTATTGAATTCATTTATAGTTTCATATTTTTCATTAATGTTTGTATTAGAAATATACCTAGGTGAAATATGTTCATTATTTTGAATTTGTACAAACGTTACCTTCTGTTTACATGTGTATTAGTGCGAGTATGCTTTGTTACATCCGTTTTTCTTCCCGATAATCCTTTGTTAATATAGTCGTACCCAGTAACTTTCACCTCAGATACAATCACATTGCCCAATAAATTACAAGTCCAGATAGCCACTAACTTCAATTCGTTTGAGACATAGATGGTTGTTAAATATGAGCTTGATAAGTCATTCATTAACCTATAGAATTTGGGTTTGCTCATTAAGTCTCCTTATAGTTCACCACTACTGCATATTAAGCGTAATTGATTATTTTCGTATTTTTAAAACTGACTACTTAGTTAATAAATGATGTTTGTTTTGTTTTATATAACAGCGGATTTTCGTAAATAGTTCGAATGATTACCAATCGTTCTCGATTTCTTTCGTTTTATTGAAGTGATTGATGAATTTTCGAAAAGCCATTTGAATATGGTGGAAGACTGATTAATAGTGGTGTTCATCAGTGTGTTCAGTAAAGTTCGAAAACTGATCACTTGTAAGCATTATTTTCGTTAATTTATTGGTTGTGGGTGTTGCCTAGAAATCTGATTGGAATCATTCCAAGCTATCTTGTATTGACACTTCAATCTGAATATATCACCATCGCAAGTTATGTGATGGAAATGGTAAATCAAGTGAAATGTATAGTTTGAAATGAAATTATCAGTGAATATTAATGTGTTATGCGGAAGATGAAGTGAGTGAATGGACGGAGATTGACTGGAAATCGTTGTCATTGCACACATATTGAATATTGAGGAATGGATGCGCTAGCGCTTTTCGGACACGTATCTAATCTCTTGATCACTGTTTTTGATTATTTTTTGGTGTGACTTCACTTTTCGTTAATCGAATATGGTGACTATATGCAATGGGTTTTTGTTGTTGTTGTTAATCCTAGTTAATTGAAATTGACACATTAATTTGAATAGTATGTATTGTATCAGTTATTATTTTATTAAATATAAACAATAGTGTTCTGTGTAGTCAGTAAGTGTGTGATAGGAAGAAGCAACACTCGGAATAGTAGACGGTTGAATAGTGTTAGATGTAGCCCGAAGCACAATGGGGAATTTAGTTGAATCTAAATTTATTTCTTGACAAAATCGTCCCATGATTAGATAACTTCGTTTCAGTGGACCGAAAAGTTGAATCTCTATTAAGCTATTGATTTGTGTGTTGAATGAATTTGGTTAATGTTGCGTATATTTGTGACAAATGTAGGATAATATCTGATTTATTGTTTGTGAACAATCTATTAATGTGTGTATATTTGTGCAAGTGATATTGAAGTTAGTTAGTTAGTTAGTTAGTCAGTCAGTTAGTTAGTTAGACATTTAAGAGCCATTGACCTTGTGTGTGGTTATTAAGTGGTGGAGGTGTGTGACAATTCTTATTTGAATTGAACTGTTTGACATTTATTGGTCAGATATAAAATGGAAGGAAGATAATAACTATATTTCGAATTGAATTTGAAAATTGTTTTATACTGATTACTGTGTGTTATAATTTGTCTTTTGGTTACTTGTCTTGGCTATTTTAATGCTACTTTTTGTATCTGGTCATCGCTGATTGTTATGTCGAAAACGAGGGACCTCTGCGATTCGCGAAAGTAAGAACACAAAGACTGATATAAGTGATTTATTAACCCCAAAACACTATGACGACGACGATGAAAACTCTAGTAGATAACACACTCATTTATATATTGATTGTACATCCATTTTGATTAATAATGAGGATGAAATCACATATATGAAAAAATACTTAGAGTTATAAGAAATCACAGACTAAGCATAGTTCATGTCAATGGAATAAAAGACTATCGTATATTATACAGAATAAAATATCATACGATAAAAGAAAGCAAATAGTACATTGAGTAATCATTACATTGAATCAAAATGGAAGTAATCTTGAACAAAACTCATAATGAGTAAATCAATCCAAAATTGACTTTTCTTTCCATCATATCAATGTGACTTTATATAAATGCCTAGAAACTAGAAATTTTTCATCTTAGTCATCCCTGACCTCAGCAATGGGCATATCAGTGTTTACTTGTTGAAATCATGAGCCAATTGAAGCACTGGACGGCCGTTTCATCCTAGTATAGGACTCCTTAGGAGTGCGGCCGTCCAGTGCTTCCAGGTTTTCCATGGTGGTCTAGCTTCAATTGACTCATGATTTCAACAAGTGAAATTTCTAAAAATCTCCACAAAACCCATTCTGATATCAGTGTTCAGTTTTCTTTTCGACCACCTCTAGAATACTTATTTAATAGTTATTGTGTAATGGCTTATTAAAAGTATTTCAATTTGTAGTAAGTAGTTTGAATGTTTCATTTTTTGTGTATATAATTTCGATGGCAATGATAACGACATTACGGCAACTGACAAAATTATCGTGAAATGAATCCAAAACATTAAGTATACTATTCTGATTTAGATAGAACACACAGTTTGATATTTTCCCTGTTTCATACTATGTTATCGACACTTTTGAGTGGATACTGTTACTGATACGAGATTCAAATTTTTTATAAGAAGTAGGTCTGTTCTAAAGACAAAATCAATAAATTTAATTGATTTTATTCTGGCATGCACTACTCGTCATGACCAATTATGTTATGCGAAATTGATAACGGTCTACTTTATATAAATTGTTAGGTAGGTTTGTAGTAGCATTAGTTCCTAAACACACTAATACTGACTTAGACCTAAATCCTGAATGTTGACTTAATCTATTTTATACTATAGATGAAACGGAATTCGTAAAAAAGTGTAATTCTTGGTTCATAATTTTACATGTATATTTTATCATCATTGTTATCATATGGTTATAATAATAATAATAATAATAATAATAATAATAATAATTATTATTATTATTATTATTATTATTATTATTATTATTATTATTATTATTATTAGTCTTAGTGATTGTAAATGAAAAAGTACATTCATTTCGTGGGAGTGTCGAACTGTTTAACCACTATCTCGAATTTAATTTATTTGCTAAAATGTAAAATTTTATATGCGTCTCAATATTTTACAAAAATATGTGAATTGTCATGTGATGAACGTTCACTGTGGTACATAATAATTTTCTGAACACATTTCAAGCCCCCGGGTACCATTATGTTACAATAAATGTCAAGTTAATAATGCTAACCATCGACCATCCCCCAGACGAAAATGAACGAACGACTCGACATCCACAATCAATAGCTTACCTAATTTATTATATACAGGATATTTGGAGAAAAATAGCCATGTTGATAAAGACGTTTTTGGCAGCTGCCAATATCGTTTCGTTCTGCACACGTATTTAATAATAAAAGTCATTCTCTTGCTGGTGCCTATAGTGGATAATGAAATGACAGGAAGTTTGATTTCTATAAACTGTTTATTGTTTGGAAAACACTCCTTCTGTTGGAAGTTCAACGCCAACAGATATCTCGTGAAAAATGTTCTTCCCCTCTCAGCTTGAAATAGATACGTGAAATGACATGACGGGAGTGACAAGATTTGTAAGATGGTACTCCATTGAAGTTGACGGTTATTATTCATCATAAAATGGGCTTTCTATTGAATGGTTAGAAATACGTTTTCGATTAGTCTAATCGTAAAAGAGATAAGGGTACATCAAAATACAAATTCATACCTCAGGAATTTATTTCTCTCATATCACGTAACATTCATACAATACCGTCAATCCCAGAAGTTCTTACTTATTCATCACATAATTATTCAGATGATTCTAATGTAGGTCATTCTGAAAAATCTAATGCGATCAGTCATAACAGAGGCTAAAATCACAAAACTGGAGACTGAGGTAAAGTATGTCGTGATGTAATTGGTAAAATTATTAAAAGAACTAATATGACATATAATTGAGAAGCGAAACCAATGGCAAAACACTAATCTTTTCAGTAAGAAAGTGATTAGTGTGCACTAAGTTGATGGAACCACTTAGTATTTTTAATGATATTGGAGTAATACTAAAAACACTGACCGCGAGCGCTTTTTTTATAATCCGGTTCTTCGCATAACCTATGCCGTTTTCTGATTGACCGGTATCGTTTTTGTTTCGCTAATTTAGGTCATGCCTTCGTAAGTATATACATTAAGTTGCACCATTTTAAATTGTTCTGGTTGAGTGTCAAGTTTTTTTCTTAATTTGTTTGTGGATAGTAGTTGGAGTGTTGTGTGCCGTTATAGAGTCCTCAGTAAAACCGTATGTTTCAAAATACTTCATTCGCTCCTTAATTTGCAAGTATCTTAGATGATCCGGATACCCCCAGTACCTTAATCATTGTCATAAGAATTTCATAGTATCTGAAACTTATTTCGTATTATATCTACTGTAGAAGATAGTTATTATTAGTGGGGTCTATGTTCAATACTTCCTTATTCATGGTATTTCATCCCTTGATGTTGGCTTTTTGACAAGTGCTATTGTAAAACTATAGAAAACTCTGTTAACCACATAACCAGATGATTATGTTAGGAAACTGTAACCTATGAATTCAAATAATGCTGGATTTTTACATTTTAACACTGGCAACATCAGATATACATTGCACTGTATCAGAATTTAACTGAGGTTGGTAATTATTTATCATTAAATTCCAACCTAATGGATGAATTTTCATCTTTCCTCCCCAAGACATGGATTATTCTTTATTTGATTTCATTTGGAGTTGCAAATAATTATTGAAAATGTAGTGATATTATTGAATTTTATTTTGTTGAAGCTTCCTAAATTGTTATTCTTTCTCAATGTTTCATGTGTGCAACGTTTTGCAAAGTTAAATATAATAAAATTCCAACTGTTATAGTATCAAAGTGGTGTTGATACTTTATTCTTTCCTTATGTGATTCGAAGAAATGTGAGAGAAGTTTACATTTAGAAATTATGAATTGGACATATAGTCAATGTGAAGTAAATGTTATTTCTTGTTGAGAATTCTTTATCGCAATCAAATATTGAATTAATTGATTTTTAATCATTAAGTTACCGGATGAATTTGTATTTTTTTCATGGTTCGCTTTATAAAGTTTTTACTCAACTTATCACTTAATCCCCTTTATTCACTTTTGGTTTTACTTTATTTAAACTTCCTTTCTTATCCGTTACTCCAACTTATATTTTTATTTAATTTAAAGTGGATTCCAGAATTACGCGATCGTTCACTTTGGGAATTAATAATCAATTCATATTATCGAAAGAAATATCATTTTGATTATTCAATGATGGAAACATTTAGCTCATGTTTACCATCATCTGATGATAATTCTGAAAATACTGTGGTGTTAAATTTTTTAAAAGATTTTTCAAATTTTCTTGAAAATGATGCATTATGTAAAACAGAATGCTTCCAGAGTAATAATGACAATAATAATATGAATATTTACAGTCCCAGTATTGATAATGTTGAACAAGAACCACATCAACGTATATTATCACACCGATTGAGTAATAATAGCAGTACTACTAATACTACTAATAATGGTTATAACATTAAACAATCCAGTATCCAATTACTAATTTCAGTATGTCGAGTACAACAACTAATTAATAGTTTATTATTGACCAGAATGAAAACGCCATTGGCTCGTACAGTAAGTTCAGTTGTATTAAATATCCTAATTATGATGCGCTTTTCATTCTTTTCATAGCTAATATTCGTAAGTTAACGGTATTTGATTATAGATGTCTTAGAAATATTGCACGCATCTGCTGGGATCATTGGGTAAGTGATATTGAGGTTAGACGCAGGATGTGAGGGAATGATGGTAAATCAGTTTATCAGGTTGTGAATCTACATCGACTGAGATGGTTGAGCCACGTATTACACATACCCAACCACAGACTACCATGGTGCACAATGCTGACTAGTGTTGGAGACAGATGCTAGAAAGTCAGGGGTGGCTAAATTAAAACGTAGCATTAGTTCATAAAGTCACTAACTTCTGGTCTTAGCCATGTTGGTAGATGGAGACTACTTGTTTGGGGTCCGCGCGACCATTGTAAACAGTGGCTGGAGACTGGGTGATATGGCTCAGAATCGATCACAATGGCATAGGTGTATACGCTCTCTATCTTCCCTTAAACCATGAGATTAAAATCACTTCATATTTTTCTTTCTACAAACTAATTCTTTCTCCCTGTATCATACCCTTATACGAAATCTTTTTTTATTACTACTGAAGTAACTGCTTCTATGAACTTGGTGTTCATATTGTTGTGCTGACGAGGTATAGCAACTTGTATCGATGCATTTATGTGCCTGTTCCTACGTTCTGGATGACTGACTGATAGCAGACATTTAATATCACACGAGATAAGTTATTGTTGACTTGTATGATTTCTGAACGGTGTTTAATTATAATTTATTGAGTATAGTTGAATTGTGATTGACAATGGGATCCGGTATAATAAATACTTGTGGTTAAAATATGATCTCTAGATAATCCGCTCAGGTCCCAATAACTTCGATAGAGACCAATTTATAGGAGTCTGAAATATCAACGATGGGAAATTACAAACATAGCCGAATAATTTAATATCCATTTAACTAATTTATGGGCTCAGTAATTTTGTGTGGTTAGCTACAATGCGGAGCAGATGCCCCTGTCTAGCTAGTTCAAGATAGGATGGAACTCACATCCTGGATCCCACTGCCGTTTACAAATTATATCGTAATAAAAATTATTTCAAATTTTTGACCCATCTGTTCAGTCACCATAACACACTGGATGAATATGTAACAGTTCAAATTTTGACAGACCGGGAAGGGTAATCAACAAGGCGAGAAACCATAACATGAAAACCTATAGAAATCTAAACATAAGAAATACTCTAAGATAGAAACTAGTGAGTTTGAAAAAATAATTGGAAAGATTTCTTCAGCTAAGATTTAACCCAACTGCCCCCCTATCATCTAACATCCGCATCGACTGATGGTAGTGATTGATCTTATCCATTTAACGTAATCTGCACCTACGACCACTACTAAGATTAACAATCCATGACTTCACGAATTGATACTACCATCCAATAAACTGCTGACAAATATTCTAGCAATCAAGTGTGAATTGTACATAACTCTAAGTATTGTAAATATTTATTTATTTCGGTTTTCGTAATTCTGAAAGTTCGAATTGATACTCAGTAGGTTTCAAAATCTTTTGTAGAAAAATCCTACAACACTAATTAGGTGAAGGCCTCAAATGTTGACTGTCTAATTTACAGTCACTTTTTATCTTTTTGTCTGTAGTGTAGCGCTGACACAGTGATTGAGGCGTTCAATTTCCAACCTCGAGATCCCAAGTTCAAACCTCTCTCCACCCGATTCAGTATGACCCTTCATACTCAAAGAGTGGCTTAAAGTTGAGTAAACGAGTCTGTATCTGATAATTGAGTTAGTAATAACAAATTTTGTTTGTCAGTTATGCTATTTCACTGTAATTATTATTATTATTATCTTTCTTTAATATTTATAGTCCGAAGAAACCGTTGAAAAAATGAAACAACTATGTTCAGCAGTGTATTTTGATAAGCATACAATTAATCCAACTGAGCAATGTATTGAAGAAGCGTGTATTAAACTAGGTTTCAAGGTATGGTGATTGCTTTTATAATTTATATCATTGGGCTCTGATCTTAGTGGAATTCTATGGTGGGGAAAACACTTGGCTTCTAACTAGTAGCTTGCACTTCAGAGCATTGAGCTTCTGAATCCCGTATGAAATTGCGAATAGCCATAGCACAAACGGTTATTAAGTACCGTTGAGAATTTCCTAAAACTATTCTTCAGAAGTCAGAAGGAGTACTAAAAAAGTACCCCAAAAACCAGACCATTTTTGTAGTCTCTTTAAAAAATCTAGAAAAAGCCTTGTTACGGTTTCCTTTTGCTGTTCAAACCAAGTTCGTTACTGATTTTCACATCTTATCCTTAAGTTTCTAGGATCCTAAAGTTCCTTATAATTTAATAAATTATTTTTTATGTACAGGAGATAACCTTTGAAGCACAGCTTTTATGTCTTCCATCATTCATGTTCTGTTCGTGATATAACGGCGGAATACGTCGCCACAGTATACTACTATTTTACGATAATACAATATGTGACCGTTATTACACCTTTCTCCTCGAGGCTGAATACTCAGTTGACACTGTATACAGATTGCTGGATCACGTTATACCAGATACACGATTTAGGTCCAAAAGCATAGTACATATGTCTATCTATATGGGCTAGACAATGCTTTACTCAATACAATTACGAGTAATCTACCCTCAGTGAGTATAAATGTAGAAATTAATAACAAAAATAAAATTCCATAGTAAATAATTAGTAAGCTGAGTGCCTATTTATTCATGCTCAGTGGCTAATCACATCTAACTTTTACCAGTCACATATCAGTTCAACATTGACTAGTCAAAATTTTCTAAGGGCTTGAAGCGGCTAGGAATTCACTTGCTGAAGCATTCAAAGTACTAAACGTATCAAAACAGTGTACAGCAAAGTCCTATGCATAAACATGCTTCTTATATAAGTTAGTAACATTATTCTATAGGAAAGAATTTATATGATGAATTGCAAACTTTAACTTTATAAGTAGCTGATTTAAGTTGAAAGACAAAAATAATTTTTGTCAAAATCTGTCGTATACTTTTATCAAAAAGTTATAAAAGACTAAAGAGGTATGATGGAAGTACACTACTATATATAGCAGTGTAGAGCCATGAAGAGCAGATTAAGGCAATAGATTTGTAAATTTACGTCAATGGATTTATTCGTCTTTGGTATGGTTACGAATATCACTACTCATGTTATTAAGTATGTTCTTCTACTTATCCCTATATCGTCTAATTCATTTCTGTGATTTTCTTTCCTTGGAACGTGATATAAATATTTTCCTCTCGGTGCTATACTACGCTAATACAATAATATGGTAATAAGAGTGGACCAGATGACCGGCTTTATAAAACCACTAAATTGGGTACTCGAACGATCCACAACATACAGACCAGATCACGTTATACCAAATACCCGATTTACGGCTAAAATTAGAGAACCAGATGAAAGCTAGAGAATAAGTTATGCCACATAATTACAAGAGGTTATTCTCAGTGGGTTCGGAGGAGAAACTAATAAGGGGAAAATCAATTACATAATTAATAGACATTAATCTGAGTGTCTGTTTATTCACACTCAGTAACTACTTACACTTACTTTCACTACCAAACATCAAAATGATAGGTTTACGGCAATAGAAACCTGATATTTTGTATTATTGAATTGTGAATTGTTAAGGCTCCAGTAAGTACTTAGCATCGTTTCATTAAAACATATCAAAAGATTATAACTTTTGCCTGTTAGTAATGAATAATTGAATTTTAAGGTAGTTTCTACCACAGATCGGCTTCAACTAGTGATACATTGAAAACTCTGTGAGTTACTGAGTAGGTCATTCGTTTTCAGCTCAAAACATCTTAGCAATGTACGCACACAACCTCATTAACTGACTAATCCTTACTAGCATTTATGTCAGATTGAGTTAGTATTATCATCCGACTGTCCACATTTTTTAACTTCAGGTAACTCACATATTGTGACATAAAAATAACAAATATTTGCTCAATCAAAAGGTTTCTTTTTCAGCGAATCCATTTACAATCTTAAATGTATCCCTGTGTTAAAATTATAAGCATAAATACATTCTTTAATGAGAATAGTGAAAATTCACTGAAAATAACAAGAGAACGATAAAATAAATAAAGATACAAAACCGTTTTCTTTATTTAAGATCTGAAATTGTAGTTTTGAGAGCTTGCATTTGTGCATTCCCTCGATGTTCGATAATCAATATCAATAGTGTTAACTACTCAATAATCAACATTCTAATGCATTTACATATTTAAACAGATGAATTCGCGAGTCAGTCTAAGCTAGACCATCATTATAAACCTGGGGTCACTAGACAGCCGTTTCGTCCTACTATGGGACTCCTCAGTAGTGCACATCCATGATCCAACACAGCACTCGAAGTTAGGACCTTCGGTCTCGCGCGCGAACGCGTAACCCCTAGACCACTGGACCGGTATCCAAAGGTGTTAACGTCTAAATTCAATCGTTTAATGATCTTGCGCAACCCTTCACCCATCTACATTTACGTATGATAATAATAACTATAGTACTAGTAATTACTTTTATTACAGATTTAGTTTATGTAGAACGCCTCATCTCTACTTGCTATTAATATTATTTTATTGACTTGAACTATTTTAGATACCAACTGATCCATATGCTGATTTTGAAAAACCACCAGGTACACTTGGATTTCAATGTATTTATAATTATATAATGAAAAATAGAAATAAAGTTATTGATATGCTTAATTATGCTTACCCATGTCAAAAAAATTCCTATCTAACCAATAACACCACTAATAATCATTGTAAATTGTATCATTTATCAGAACTCAATGTATTATCTTCTTTGAATGTGAATAACAATAATGATAATAATAATGTGAATGAAATTAGTAGTAAGTTGTCACAACAACGTGTTCAACGTCATTTTTCCACTGTTGATTCAAATTCTATTCAAAATATATTACATACTACTCATTTACATGATGATAGTATACAAAATCAACGTAATAATTTTATCGGACGACGATTTACACTGGATTCATTAATAGCAACATCTAATTTATCACAATCATTTAAACCAATGAAAGAGTATTATAGTCATAATAGTTTTTCATGTAATTATTCCATTTCATCATCTTCTTCGACAATTTCATCATTGATTGATAAGAAGCCATTATTTCCAATTATTGAAGCTGCTAATGCTGTGACAAGTATGCTGTGTGAATTGCTTACAACTAATGGTAAGTAAACAGTAGTAATGAAAGAGGAAAATATGCGTACTTCGTTTTTGGTAGTTTATCTATGCTTGATGTTGACAAACTGTAAATATAAACCAATGAGCAAATGTAAAGCTTCGTGTGCAATCACTTGACTTTCTGTGACATTTTTCTTTGTGTATAAGTTAACTATAAGGAAAGCTGTTCTGTTTAGGGATTAGTTTAAAGTAACTCCAAATCGCAAAAGATTACAAGATTCTCCTAATGCAAAATAGGATCTACTTGAATTAAATAGATAGATGACACTCCAAGTATGAAAGAAAGAAAACAGAAACTCAGGAAAATTTTGGTTTTTAAAGAAGTTAGAATTATAGTAGAACAGTTGTGTTTGTATACTAGCCACTCTGATCTTGGAAAGTATGATAAAAATAGCAATGATTAAAGCAGAACTAACCATTCAGATACCATTTAATGTTAGTGGTATCATATATGAACTCCAAAATAGTTACCGAAAACAAAGTTAGAAGTTCGCACACCCACAACCCAAAGTTTGAATTTCCAGTGATATAACTGCGAAAGTATGATCGTGATACAGTTGTATTAACTCCACTGAATGAATACTACAATTCATTGTGAATAAAATATCATTCAGAGATCTAAAGGGGAAATGAAGAAGCTTTAAAAAAATTGTCTCTTTATTTATCAACCTCCTCTTATTGAACAAATCACTATTCACTAATGACTAGTTTCAGAATAAATCTTTTCAAATTTTTAATGAAGATTGATACTTGTTGGTGATACCAGATGATGATAATTATACTTTAGAGAAAATGATCCATTATATTGAACGATCATGTGATTATTTCTTAAAGTAGTGTACATTATTGTAAGTTTCAAACTGGATTAAAAAGCATCTTTATTATGATTTTATATTGTTCATTATGATTTTGTAAAGTATTCCCTATCTAGAATAGAAAATTTATTTTTAAATTAAACCAATTTATTTAATCTATCTTACCTAATTATACTCCATTTTCTTTGTTAGATACAAGTCATGAACCAAATATTATCATAGAACAAGATGATAAGGATTTTTATCTTTCATCGCCGTTATATCCAATTTTACTTAACAAATCAAATAATAATACTAATCATTATCAAAGTAATCTATCATCATTTGAAGATATATTCGATTGTGTTTTTTCAAAATTTTTCTCTTCCTGGACTCAAATGAAAGCTGTTCCAGAAGATTTGATTGCAGTAGGTTTTCCACTTATTTACTGTTGGTTTTTCACCGTTTCTATGTGTATTTTTAAGTTTTATTAATCTAAAACAACTCAAAGGATATTCAGTATTTCTGTCAGTTTACGATATACAGAGATCCTTTTGTATACAGAAGTAATTTCTGAATTTTGTTTTGATTAATTCTGTCTGGTTTGAATTTTGTGAAGACATGCACCTGGCTGGAATGAAACGGCTATCCAGTTCTTCCAGGTTTTCAATGATATATATTTATATATAAAAGGTAGTTCTCTACTTGATGAATGTAAGAAAAATAAAAGAATGAGTATGTTCCAAAAAATAACTTACAAAATAAGTTGAGATGATGATGTTAGTGCCATAATGAATTAGGGACTTGGATGTAATTTTGTGATCAGTTGATCTGACTCAGATTTGGATGAACGTATGAATATGCCATGAACATAAATCTTCCATTTATCTCCGTATTCTGTAGTGTCGGTTGTTATTCAAGCCCGCATAGCTTATTCTAGCTTCTAGACAGGCCCATTTATTCATTCTTCTTGAGTCATATTTTGACCTTGTTAATTATTCGCTTGTCAACTTGACTGTTTTTATATAAACATATGTGCATTTCTTATCTTACGCATCACATGTCCGTAACTTATTTTTGTCTCACTAAAATCTGAGATCCATATAGTAAATAGTTGTTTTGTAAAATATCAATCCATCATCTCAAACTTGACTGTTTTCTTTTGTAAATATCAGTCCATTGCCTCAGATTTCATTGTTCATGCATTTTCATACCAATTGCGTCCCGTTCCCGTTCTTACCTTATCGACCTTCTACTGAAATACATTCTATGCTTGACCACCGTTCTATACTGCTTGTGTGGATATAAGTAACCCACACCACAATAGTACCAGACACTATAGTACCACTTTTGAACTTAAAAAGTAGACTTTGTTAACACATGTTCATTCTCTTCTTTTTCCCTTTTTTGTTTGCCAAATTTTCATAACTATCTTTTCTATATGTTTTTTTTTTTCATTCTTATAACTGTTTGACTATTACTTGAATTGAAATTCTTCTGATTCACTTTTGGTATTTTTGTTACTGACCCAACATTTTCCTATTTTGCTATATAAACTACTATGTGTAAAAGTAACTAAGACTAAAAATGGTACGACTTTAGTAAATGACAATGTCAAAAAAGAAAATTTTTTCGTTGAACTCTCGTTGATTTGTCTAGTAACACAATACTTTTCTTTTGTTCCAATGTTCTTATACTAATGTTATATATACAAATATAGAAAAGATTGTTCATTGTAAGTAGCAATGTTAACTGGACACTTTTTCAAGAAAGGAATAAAAATGCATACACTTAATGGATTACAACAAATCAAGACGTTAAGTATGTATTATTGTATGTTCTTATACCCTGAATATGAAATACAATTTGATTAATATTATCGGTGTAAGTGTTCGTGAAGTTTGCCGAATTTCATAGTTTACGTCACGAACTAACCTTATTTAGCCAACGACTGAGAACCGAGAAGCATATGCCACGAGACCAAAAGATCCTATACTCGATTCCCAGTAGAGTTTTAGATGCTCGTTGCTGTGGTGTCTCATCCTAGCACGAAACAGCTATCCGTTGCTCCCTGATTTTGAATGATTGTCAAACTAAATCAGTCTGTGTAGTAAACTATTTACCAGTGTTAGTTTTGGATTAGATAGCTCTTCGAAAGAGAATCGGTTTTGAAACAGAAATACATACCAATAAATATTTTCATAGACCTTATTTGCCAAATATGAAAGTCATTAAAATACTTTTCTCAAGTTTATATTCAGTATCATCCTTAAGATTGTTTTTGGCGTCTCATATGATCAACTCTCAGTATTTAATTTCATCATAAAATTGACGAATAACATAAACATTATTTCAGTTTCCATTCATACATGCATGGCGTAACAATTATGGGAGTAGATTTTATTTAGCATGTCTACCTATATTTTCAGTTAGTCTGTTTATCTATCTTAATGGATATTTGTTTGCGTGTATTGTGATAGACGATGCTAATCGATCTGCGATCCAAGTTATAAAAAGAGTTATTTACACCCACTCATCATACTCTTGTTGACGTTGTGTACAGACATAATACATCTAGACATGTGAATTTATCTGAGAGACAAAAACAGTATTCAAAGTACGATGGGTAACGAGTTTAAATATGTTGACTTTTGATTTTGCTTATAAAATGAAGGTAAACACGTTTATTCGAGATTAGATAATAAACAAAGTAGGTGAATGTAAGTTATTATCATTTATTTGTTTTTCTAAGAAATTTTTGGATTTTTCGCTCCGAAGAAAAACAGAACGGTGGAATTTCAGAACATAGTTATTGTATTTTAATCTTTTTGCCTTTAATATAAACGTTTAGTTATGATATACTGCAAGATATATTGAAATATACGTTCCTAATATACAACGCTTGGGATTTAAAGGCATTAATTCTACTTTTTTTTAGGGGTGGACAACTGAAGTCCAAATGATAATCGCATACAGATTATATATATATATATATATATATATATATATATATATATATATATATATATATTGCGGTATAGACTACACACGTGAATCAGGTGCACAATTAATAGTGTTACTATTGTTTTTGTTATTATTACTATCAGTGCCAATGACCTTGTATGATATTAGATTTTTAGGACACCGTAGAGAATTCTAAGAACAAAGAAACTTTTCAACAAGGTTATCATAATATCTATATTTTAAGTGCGAAATTACCTTGACCTGAAGATGGGTTCCTGTTCATTCTTGGCCTTTGAAAATATTTCTTCATCACATAATAAGGGTCTTTTTTAGATCATTTGTATTTGGTTTCATCCAGTCATCATCAACATGGAGCCTGGCGCAGATGTGCGTTGTCTTAAATGTTTATACGTTCACGTTTGGATTCAAAACAACTTCCTTTCATTTTAAAATTCAGTGTATTATCCGATGAGCTTCCAAGTTGATATAACCACTAACTTCGTTAACGGGGTCAATGCTTATATCACTATCAATAAGAATTTTCTAGGAAGCAATAAGGGTATTAAAATGAATGATTAATTGAGCTAAAAGCGTTTAATTTCCCATTGGAAGGAAATTTCCTTACGATTAATTGCCTTAAAGAGAAGATCAAACTACGCCATTAAATGGTAGTGACATTCATTATTAGAGGCTGGATATTTTCCCGTCTCCCCTTAATATATACATATCATACGTATCTTGATTTTTTCGACATTAATATTTTGACAGGTAACATTAATTAACTAAGTCACTTCAGCAATAAGTTAGGATTTACTCAAATAAACTCATTTGAATATCAATTCTACCATCGTAAGACCAACTGACTTACAGTAAGATGAATCAACTTTTAGACCATTTATTGATTCATAAATAAATAATATATTTGTAATATTTGGGTACTAATAACTTGTTGACGTCCCAGATAACTTCTAGAAATCTACAGCTCTACGATTTTTGAATTCTAAACAAATAAAAAAGATGTCCGTCTAAATATAGAAATCAAATGGTTATTTATGCGATTAAAAGCGATTATAGAGCTTTGGAAACTTAGAAAAATATACCAGTTGAAAAAGTATTTCTACATTTTTAATTTTTTTCCCCGAGTTTTCTCACATTTACTTTCTATCAAAAACAGGTATGTCCTTTAAAAAAATGGTTGAATTGCTTCTCTTTTTTCATTTGAAAGATACATAGCTCATGTTATTTAGGCATAGGGCAAATTAGCAATTAAATGTTGACTTATATGTTGTGCCTGTGGATTACTCTGAATGATTGAACATCACTTATATTGATATTTTGACTATATCAACTTGTCTATAGTCGGCTGAACACAAATGGAAAGATCGTTTGGTTTCAGTTATAAACTCCATTCATCAATGGTTTAGAGGTGGAAAAAAATTGTCTATAGTTTTAAGTAGCTTTTGTTCAACTATTTAGGCTTATTAAATATGACGAGGAGTTTCTGTTCCCTCAGTTCCATTTAGAAACATGACCTTCATAAGCTCTTGCATTGTATTCTATCAACAAAATAAGTCGTTCTATGTTCAGTACACAACAACTTATCATAAAGGGAGCACGTGTGGTCAATTATGCATAGATACATCTAGCGAAATGAAATTTTGGTTTAAAAATAAATATTTCATAATCTGTACAGTTGATGAATTATTAATGTTTGATTTCGAATAGTATAGTTTAAATAATATTGATTGATCTCTGGTTTGTGACTCGTATCGTGTTTGTTTAATCCTTTTTGGCTCACATAGTGCTTATCAATCAAGTTGCAATATGGCTACTAGCCTAAGGGACTCACCATTGCTTGCACTATGTTTTGATGTTTAGTGGTTGAAAGTAATCAACAGGAAACTCTACTTGACCCAGGTCTTAGGTACCTTGGCATTCATCAACGAAAGCCTACCTACAGTCTCGAGAGAACCGATCATTCCTATAGTATTTGAAGCCTCATCATTTCCCTCAAGATTGCAGTTATGCCTTGCTAGTCAGTGCGAAATAGCGAGAAACCTAGTTCAATCGGTATTCTCTGTATACCTTATCCAGTCACCTAACATAAGTTTTAATTGTGACTCGAATTAGTTAAGAGCCTTTGCATAACTTCAATCAGCAACGGATTCTTGATTCAGGATATCTTGCTATAGGTTATTTAGGAACTTAAGATATTTAAGTAAAGTGATTGAATAGATTATAAACTATAGATCACCAAGATTTAATATTTTTCCTAGAAGAAGCAGTATATTAATGATATTTCCATCAATCTATTGATTCTAAATTCAATAATAACAAACCCTTCAAATTTATGGTCGAAAGCATACCTTTATCTAGTTTGTAATACTTTATGGAAGTACTATGTGGTCAGAGGTAGTTGGTAGAAAACCCCACCTTACTTAAGTTTCGTCAACTAAAACCTACCTTGAGTCTACAGGGAATCGATTATTGCTGTTGGAGCCGAAGCCGCTTGCCTACAATCTTGCTCTATAGAATTCGATCAATTCTAAAGACTAAACAAATATGATATGTTTTAATCGTTATTCATTAATCAATCATTTGTAACTTTTACGGTTTTCAAAAGGCTTAACAGTGTATTATTCACTTCATATTGTAATATAATGTGCTATGCATATGGGAAGAAATGAAATGAAAATAACTGGATTGTGTAAATTCGATCTGTGCTTCTTGTCTATCTATAGTTAATCGTTATTACTCTCTTTTGACTCCATTTTTGCATACAAACCATATTTAATAATTGTGCAGTAACATTTGTGGAATTTATTTATTTGTTTAAAAACTTTATTCAATGAACTAGTTTTTAGAAGTGACGACGTTCTGTTGCATTTTTATCCTAAGGATTATATGACAATTTTTCTGATCTAAAAAGCAAAAAACATTATACCAAAATCGTCCTTTTTTCAGCATAGGATTGTGAAGATTATCGATTTTTAATGGAGATTATGAGTCGATTAATATTAGGCCACCATCGAAAACCTGAAAACACTGGTTGTCTGTTTCGTCTTATTATGGAGCTCCTCAATAATGCGAATCTACGATTCCTCACGCGGGACTCGAACCCAGAACTTTCCGTCTCGTTCTTGTTAATTTTTAACTAGGATTTCCTTATTATAATTGTTATCAATCATTTACTATCAATCCATTGTCATTTAGATTATACTATTCAATCATCCAGTCAAACAATAAAGATATGTAGTCTCCTCAAATAATCTTATTTTATTACAAAACCCTATATGTGATGTATGTTGTAATTCATTCATTTAATCTATTTTTGATTTCCATCTGATTGTATCGAGTACTTTCAGAGATAATTGATCATTGCTTCAATTGTTGTTTAGTCAATTAAATATAATAATATTCTTTTTCCAATCCTTCTGTGGAGAGTACAATAATTTTGTGTATAAGATCTTCTAAAGTTCACGTACGAATATTGCTTTACCACTCAAATAAAGTTAGGATGATTTCTTTATTAATAGTTTTTAGTAGGGGATAGACGCTCTTGAACAGCAACCATTAATCATTTAATTAAACTTCTTTCTCCTTGGTCAATCCAAACCTTCATACAATGTTTCAATAAAGATTTATTACAAAAATCGTGAAAGTTATATAAAAATAAAACATTTCTAACTGATGACACCTGTTTATTTATCTGAACTGAATGCTGTTCAGCAGTTTGCATCACCGATTGACTTGAGTGAGAGAGACATTTCAAACTATAAACTGAATAGCTGTTTCATACCAGTATTGAACTCCTCAGCAGTGCGAATAAACGAACCCACTTAAATTAGAACCCATAACCTTCAGGTTTTACAATGAGTGCTAAACCTTTAGATCAATGAATCGGCATCCACTGGAAACTCAACAACCTCTACAAAAACACCTCATAATAATGAATAATATTATAAATAAATGAACAAAACGTTCAATAAACTAGTGTTATCATTCCGGCTTTCACGTTTTTTCGGTTATTCAGTCGTTTTTTTGTTTAATACTTTTAATTTTGAAAATAATTTTGACATTCTACTGGAATTTTGATTCTATAAAGTACATAACCCTAATTATCACTTTGTATTCGATTTTCTTTAGTGTACATTACACATTTAGATTTATTACAAACAGAAGTTAACTTGTCGAATTATAATTTTGATAGTTGTTAGGTAGGATCGTTCCGATAGTTGGCTTTTCCTGTATGCCCATCCTGACACAGCAGTAACATCCTGATGGACCTGAACCCTAACCTAAATATTAATCATGTAGACTCTCTTTAATACCTTGTAATCGTTACTTTTCTTTTCTACAAATTCTTTTTTCTCTAATTACGTGTTTACAGCCTGTTTACTTTGCTGCTGTTGTTGTTATCGCTACATTTTTTTGCATCACATAATCATAAAACTTGTGTATAGTCTTCCTCTCTCTCTCTCCTTTTACTTTTTTATTTTATTGAACTTTTCATTTCACCAACCGTGTCGTTTTATTTTGGTCAAATAGATTTTATGCGTGGTACGAGAGCAGATAAATCGTATTTTGAAAACCATTCCTATTTCACTTGAAGAATTTGAAAATTCTCTGATAAAATTTAATCCATATGATGTACCATCTATGTGGTCGAAACGGGAGAATCGTCTACGTGTAGATATGTTACATAATCACCCGGCATTAATGTAAGTTTCGTGTTTTAGTTGTTTGATTATTGGTTGATTAAAATTGTGAGTTTATAAATTGGATTTTTTGGTATTGTAAGAGTTTGCTAATAATACTCATCAGTAGAAGAACTATGTTATCACCTTTTGACTCGATTCTTGGTAATATTGATGACGACAAGTGAAATAACAGACCCTATGAACTTGGTGTACATAGTACTTCGGCTGGCCTCATTTATAAAATGGTGGTAATTAAAACCCAAACACGGAATGGGTCTGTAAAGTTTTATATCACTGTTTACATGGAACTACACATTTATCATGATATATAGAAATATAGATATGCATGCAGAAAATGTACATAGATGAAAGGTGATAATCAATCATATATGGATGTATACAGAATAACCAATATTATTACAGTGAGATGTGCAACAGTCACATACATATTTTATGTTCGTTCACACAAGGACTTGTATAAATCTGAGATGCCACTCGTGGTAGGATCGCAGATTTCATTAGGTTTTTATTATGTTCCAAATGTACAAGTGGTCTCTATAGATGATATGGTTTATTTATTTCTGGTTCGACAATCCGTTGAATAGATTTTTTCTTTATGAATTTTTTCAGGGTGCAAAAAATAGGCGGATAATTTCACAGTTATGTACTTAACTGAATGATTAGTTCCTTGGTGAATATCGGGATGTTTTATTGTAAAAGTGTTGTAACCTGTGGATTCAACGAAGTAGGAATCACGGAACCCATTCAGTGATGTCGATATTTCATGAGATAGCACACACGAGGTTGAAAATCAGATGAAGTGGGGAATGTGAAATAATGTGTCCCAGTTTAACTAGGTCAATAACATCGTGTTCGACGTTTGTTATTATGCCAGTATCTTTCATGTCCGACTTCAGTTTGTCGTATTTTAATTCATTTACTAAGAGATATAAATTCAACTGCTATTAATCATGCTCACCTACACATACTAACAGAACACTTTAGTCGTACTTCCATATATAGAATACATAACATTTATATAACTTATTTTGTTATTACTCAATAAAAAGAGCACAACACATTGATCTCATTTACTTTTCTTTGTTTTAAAAGAACTGCACATTTGTAAAACTGTTACTTTGTTCGTTGGATTACCTATCAAAAACATATCTATTGATTAATACATCACATTGAGTATAAACGTTATACGCTTAGTGTGAAATACTCTGCATTAATTATTTTCATATAGATATTTTGCAGAGAAATTATTTGACGTTATTATTATAATCACAAGTGCGGAACTTCCTACCATTTGCTTCCAACCACTAACTTTCATCAAAACGTGTAATCCTTACTACATCTAGCTATAATTAGACGAGCAATCATTTCACAACTACATCGATAGTGTTCTATCAAGACTAAGGAACTAGAGCAAGCATTTTAGTCTTATAAGTGATTGATAATGGGTTAAATACTTTAGTGGTAATATCTCTGGTTATACCACACTAGTTTAAACGGGTTCGAGTCTCATAGGGAGCACATGTCCACTCTTTTACTGAAAATATATCTCATTTTGGTGAATCCCAACTAGCATTGAGACTAAGGTCCAAAAATCTCTACCGACTTGCCTCAGTTACAAACTTACATTATTATGACCTACTAAAGTGTATAAAGAATGATGACGGTTTAAAATACGTACATGAACAAGTATCGAAGAAAAAAAAAGATGTTACAAAACGAATCATCGTTGTAGATATTTATCGTTTTAAAACTTACCACATGTCAAAATCGTGAATTCCGAATTATACCATTCTATCTTTACTTTGAATTCCTCATTATTTCAGTTGTCTGATTTGTTCATTTGTTTCATCGAACTTTAGCCAGCATAATTACACACTAACCATGACAGAAAAAAGCATTTTCAATCAGTAATTAACTATCTTTAACATCATCGTTATCATTATTTGGGGAAAATCGATATTTATTTCTCAATTGTGTGGTCTCTTATTTTAATTTTCGATGAAATTAGTTCCTTGTGGGTCTTGAATTAGAACTGCAAGAATATTTAAAATGGGTTAGTTGCAGTTAGTTTAGAGGAAAAATTCCTTAAATCGGGTTTTGTGCTAGTTAGCACTCACCAGTAGAGGCGTACCTTCTATTGTAAGGGAACTGATACTCCTTGTGGTACTCATACCCGCATCACCGGGTTTCTTAATTTGATAAGTTGTGGCCAACATTCTGTAAAAACTTTTTTCGCCCTTGAACGATCACTGAGGGCAGCAGAGTCACGGCTGATCAAATTCTACCGATCATGTTGCAATATAGTCGCTAGTCTTATCATTAAATATGTGGTCGAGTTGTTTAATTAGACAACTCACAGCTATTGGATTACAAGTTTGATTACCGCTCTATTAACTTTGATCCGATAATACAATGAACGCCCCAGATACATCTATACGACTCATTCAACTAAACGTTTCCGGTGTTTGAAATTGAACTTGGTTGTCTGATTCCAATGAATCGATGTTCAGTTCTAATTATCTATTCATTCGATTAATGTCAAATGTCAGCGTTCTGACGAACTAAATCGATCACTTTATACATACCTATGTCATAGTCTTCAGCATTGACAAGATCTTCTTGACCATATTCAGTGTATTCACTAGGCGCCTGATTGTTTGTTGATCGCCATGTGCGGTCAGTAATAAGGTTTGCTTAGCGAACGTTTTATAAATTCACCATCAAAAACTCTGATTTCAGTTCATCAAATATTCCCATTAAAACATTAAAAAGACAAGCTGAGCTAAGCAATATTTCTTTTCAATGAGTTCTTCATGACTATACTCCAATATATATAGCTTTTACAATTAAATATGAAATCAATGCCAAGTAAATAGTGTTGGATCGATTTAATGATATAATAATTTGTTAGTAAAACAACGTCTGGAAAATTAAGATGAATTTTCGTGATCGCTTAGTTATCACAACTAATTACTGAAGCGTAAGTATGTTAATTTGAGATATAAGTGTTTTTTTTGTGTTATGTGTAAGAGTAATAATAAACTATTCCTAAAATGGGTTCAATGATAGTTAGATAATCATATTGTGCCCTGTGTCCTATTGATGTATAAGGCCAATTAGAGAACAGTGAACCATCCGCCGGATCAATGACGCATAAAACAAGTATGAGCAGTCTAGAGTCCTTATCGGTCCTGCTTCCCACCTAGCCCTGTCTGTAAAGTCTAGAGCACCAATCCCAGCCTCTGCGATATTAATAGTTTACTTCAAACATACTGGGTTTATATACCAACCAAACAGATTACATCGTACCATAAAATAGAAAATAACATTTGTACAAGATTTAGCCAAAAATTGGCTGTGAGCGTGGGGGGCAGTAATTGATAGACCAGGTAGAACTCATGAATGGTAAATCGTATAATAATAGTCCATAAGTCAAAATGAAGCTTATGATAAGAGGAACACGAATATGAATAATTTAGTTACTTAACAGTTATACGATAGAAATGTATGTATAGTATTAGTCCGGTAATATATCCCAACAGTTACCATTCATTATTCATATCGGGATATAACACATTAATAAATAGATGAGATAAGATTAAAATTAGAAATTAAATTTTGAAAAAATTAAGTTTGTAAATTTCAAGAAAAGTAATAGTAACTGAATAGAAGGCCAAGGTAAACTGAGAGGCTGTACAAGCATTTTCTATATACAGAGGTTCAGTTTATTGATGTGTATTTCTATGGCTTCTGCTATATGTAAAGGCTGAATTCTAAATACACAGGGTAAGTTCGTTATGATTCTATAGATAATTTTAAAAGATGAGTTTATGTCGACGTGATGAGCAGTATCAACTAGAAGCTCCAAAATAGAGCTTCTTATCGTTTAGTTCTGTATTTTGGTTAATCATGATGGCTGATGTTCAGAAATACGATTGTGTTTGCATTATTTTACGCCCAACATAACTGGTTTCACGAGAGCAGTTAAACTTGTAAATACTCAAAGGGGGTTGGACTAGGTTATATTCTCTTCATTTCGTGAGCTCATTATTGGGATGACTAAAGAAAGGAAATCATGATCTTGCTGTATTCATTGTACGTTCTACGGTTTCTATTATGATTATAGTGAATTAGATTTGTTTTTGTTTAATGACCTTTAGGTTAGAGGTTAGGCGTTCGCACGCGATATCGAAGGTTTTGGGTTTGAATCCCGCGTGCAAGATCGTTGCTGCGCACTACTGAGGACGAAACGGCTGTCCAGTGCTTTCAGGTTTTCAACAGTGGTCTAACATCGATCAACTCATGATCTCAATCAAAAACTTAACCGATTCAATTGAATTATTTTAGTGGTTTTTTTATTTTTAAATGAATAGCTTGTCATATTTTATTTAGAAGAGCATCTAAATTATTTGTTTTTCATTGATAATATCTTTCTTTTTTTCTGAAACTTTACCATTTGTACACATTAATCTGTTTATTTTTCATCTAGAGAATTACGTAACGATGTAAGGAAACGTCATCAAGGACATGTATATGAGAATCGTTTAAATATTTTGTCGAATTCAGCACCTTTAGAATATATCCCATCAAAAGGATCGAAATTATGTAGTAAAGGTAATTGATTTTTGATGTATTTTACTCATATGTTAGTGTTAACGTGACGTACTACTCGTTAATGATTGCTGGAGAAAAACAATTCATATATATATATATATATATATGGATGTTTGCACGTATCCATCTATTCATATATAGTCTTCATAAAACGAATCATCACCTACTTGGATTGATTTACTCAACAAATGAATTCTTCTGTTAAAGAAGTAATCTTATCAGGGAATCGGAAAGTGATTTCAATCACTCTGTGAATCCACTACAGTTATACGATACAATACAAGTATTCTGGACTCGTTTCCATGATGAGTTTATAATGGAATATTGATCAAATGTTTACTGTTTCTTGGAGTGTATATTGCTGTAAAGCTCATAAAATTCTGAACATATTTGGATTTCTATTTTTTGACAGAACAATTCATATTGTGGATATTTTAGAACTGATTGGGTATAAGATATTTTCTGTAGTTTCAATTCAAAGTTCTTATATGATATATTTGTCGCGACTTGAGTATCCATGTTCAGACTAAGAATGAAATACAGTGCAATTACCTAGTCCAAATTGCCAAACCAGAACAAATGAAGGAATGGCTGCACACTGATCTGTTTTATTCAGTAACTACAACAAATTTCAATTACTAGTACAGTGAAGGTTGTTTAGGAGCAATGTTATATATAACTTTCTGAATAACACTAATAAAAATAAATCTCATTCATGCTTTTGCTGAATATTCTCACTGAACTTGAATTCAAGTTGCGGACCGTAAACACCAGATATAACACTGGCTACAATCAGAGCCATAAATATGGTATTCAGTTAAAAATGGAACTTTGGCACGGTTGGATAAGATCAATAGTATCAGCACTTCAGCTCCCTTGACAATATTCATAAATAAGATACAAGAACTTGTTATAAATTTATGGGACATTTTTCCCCGATCATCTCTTTGAATTAATAAATCATAATCTAAAGATATTTATTGAATATTCAGATATATCTATTATAAAGTTTTGGAATTTATCGATTATACAAGTCTGGAGTCTACGGGCGATTTACTCGCATATACGCAGTGAACTACCAAAGCCTCACTTTGATTTTCGATTGAACGTTCAGTATTAAGTAATATTTCGAATAAGTTGACAAACAGTTCTGTAATGAAATGATTTATTGCTATACATTAACTAATCAACATGGAAATCTTTGAAAATATGCATATTTCTATGATAAATCACTAGCATACCTAGCCTTCTGAACGTGTGTTTCTTCATTAGCTAAGGTTTTTTCAAGAAACGAAAATCTAACAGGAGTGAAACAGCTGTTTCACCCTAGCTTGTAACTCAGTCGCTCGAACGATAACTTCACACAAGTTTAAAATTCAAGTCTCGCGGAGATCACCATACTTTTAAATCACTGTACTGGGATTCAGTTCTGAAACCAACTGAAGGGGAATTTGATAAGATGTAATATTTAAATATAAACTTGACTGATAAGATTCGAGAATATAGACGAATATGGAACTCTTTACTTCTAACTAGTAATCTAATGTAAATATCTTAGTCCTATGATAGGTCACTCGCTGCCCAAATGGCACAGTGGTAAAATAGAATATGGAACTTAGTGACTGAGTTTGGAATCCTAAAGAGAGCATCTATTGTATCGAGATTTCAGGTAGACCTTGTTGATCAATATCAACTAACACGAAACCTAGATTCAGGGTTTCCAGTAGACTACCTTCAACCACCTAAGTAATCTGACCATGGAAGTGTGCTCATCTGTGTTAATAATAAAGATAATCATCTTTGTTCATTTGAGTAAAATTGCTCATATGATATATGGTAAATTAGCAACTCAACCATCAAATATTTTTGCTATTTCATTCTATTTACTATGCACTTAATGTGTACTCATCGTTAAATCAATAAATGTGACCTTGAAAACAAATAATACATAATTCTAACTGCTCTCTTTATTTTAACTACACGAAGTTTGACACATGGATGTTGAATAACTGACTTCGAGATTAATAATACGTATTGATTTCTAAAGGTATTTTACCACGGAAGAAAGCAAAATAATTTATCTTATTTTAAAGAATTACATCAGAGTATTAACGTAATAGTGGTTTAGTAGTAGTAGGTGAAGCATTTGGATTTCAACCAGTAGGTTGCGGTTTTGAACCTCCATACTACGTACTTCATTTTATCTAGCTGCTTAGTGTTCTAGTTTTCATATAAACTATGTAGTTCAAAGCTATTTATGAAAATTTGTCCTTGATAAATGAGCTACATCAGTGGACTGTATCTCGAAATATTATATGCATTATATGTTAGCGTCAAATACACAGTTTTTAAAAGACCATAATATGATTGTGTAAACATTCACCACCAGATAGTATTTAAGTGACTTTTTTGAACAGGAAGAATATCGATATCTAAATTTATTTTGACTAATTACTATTGTTATATTTAGAAACTTCGACTCATGTAAGTGTAGGCACCAAGTAGCAATTCATTTAGGAATTTCTCATCACAAATAGAATTTGGTTACGTAATCATTTAAGCTGGTAAACGCCGGCGCCTAAAAGTCCCAGATTTGATCCCTAGTAGAGTGGTAGGTATGCACATCAAAAGAGTTTCATACTAGCACGAGACATCCAGTGTTCCTCAGTTCCCAGAAGGTACCATATAATAGATCATATGTCTATTTCAATAGCCACTGCTTGAACCTAGAACAGGAAAACAGACATAAAAATTGCAATAAGCTTTACTTCTAAGGTTAGTCTATGTGTAAAAAGCAAGCTTATTTATAACACAATATATGACTTTGGGTTTGTAGAAGCTTCTGAGAAGCGTGCTAAACCTGGTAACAAATTGTTATTTATTCAGTCAGATATAGGTAACAAAATCCATCGATTTTAAAATCTTTATGGAAGTTTTCACAAAACCGATCAATGCAAGTACTTTCCGTCCTTTTCCGGGTATCTGTAGACATTTTAAAAGTATTATCTAGGTTTTCTAACAGTTCTTATCATGTTATGTTATATAGGCTCGGAATTAACATTTATATCACTTAGCATATAAGGTGATCTAATCAAACGTGTGGATCACCTAATATTAAGTGTGACAACATTTCAGTTAACCTACTATTCTCCATTTCCTTGGACAGAATAACTATATATCACAATTGTATGTACTCATGAGATATTATAAAAGGCTTAAAAGTTATTATTATTATGACTATGGATATTGGAAAACTCAAATGTAAGCACAACAAGACACGAGTACACTGGGATTCATACAACTTATGTATGATCTCTATTGAAACAGTTATTGTATCTACTGAACTGGTAGAAAACATTCTGAATTGAAGTTGGATGGCAGTTGATGACTATTGAAAACATGCTTAAAATATGTTATTGATGAATTTCAACTTTGAATGCCTTTTAGACGGAAAATCGTTGCGATTTTTCACAACTGATGCTGGGGATTTTAAATTTGACAAAGTTTATGGTACAAGTGGTTCATGGAGATGGTAGTGTTTTAACAGTTTTAACAACATCGAACACATGACCGGTTTTGCGCTTAACCTCTAGACCACTGAGCAGGAATCCATTGGTGTCAATGTCTATTTGTTCTTCTTATTAATATTAAATCATATGCTTTGTTTTTCTTTAATGAACACAGACAATCAATCATTCACTGTACTCTTGTCACCTGATCGCAAGTCGCTTCTTATAAGAGACACAAACCAGAACATAAGAGAAATATGTAAGTTACTATCGTCAGTTTATTTAGACACTGTGTAGTTAATATTTTACACTATTTTCTTCAGTTCTAATATGATTGTAATTGTAATCAAAATCCAAAATAGGTCGATCAGCCTAGTCAGATGATCTTTAATTTAAAATTGATGAGAATCTGTGTTCCTAAATTCTATACCTATATTAGAACAAATACACCAGTAAAACAGCTATGTTTGAGATATCATGTTATCACCTTGGTGTCAGTGGACGGAACATAAACCAGCAACGCAATAAAAGGACTATTCTAAGCTGTTCCTCCGTTCCTCTGCTTATCTAACTAGAGGAAGAAGACCAAAGTCAGCAGGGAAAATATATAAGCAAATACTATGACGAAAAGCTGTTTAGGAGTCAACGATAATATAGATATTAAGAAACAATTTCATTTTTAACATTTCTTTTTGTACATCTTCAAAAAGAATAGATTTATTTGGATATTGAGTCGTATTATGTCGCTTATGGTGAATGCTATCATGTTCAGAATATGTTGGATTCTCAAGAAATAATTACACTACTTAAAAGCTAGTTAGTAGGGTTGTGAGCAACTAAGCGTGCGGAATTTTGTGCATAAAATGTATATTTTTCACTAAACCTCAATATCGAACAATCTCTCTGATCGATATTCTTAGTATGTGGAACATATAATGTGAACTAATTCGTGTATATATATTCCACCATGAAATTATTAATAATTTAATTAGAAGTTCAACAGTAATCATACTATTTATTTCTTTTTTTATCCAAAGGGCAACTAAACTGTATTAGTCGAGTATCTTTGGGTATAACTGAGAAAGTGAAAAAAAATCCGGAACGTGTAAGTATTAATCTGACAAAATAGTAGTATATTTTTTACCAAGTGGAATTTGATCTGTTTATCAATAAAGTTACGAAGTGATTTTTTTTCCAGAGAGATGTAACGACGACCTTGAATAGAGATAAATGACTTTGAGGGACTTTAACGCGTTATTAAAATATCAACATATTTAGTGGGTTATCGTTATTCTATTTACAATTCACTTGAATTTCATCAATAAGTGATTGCCATAGATAGAAACACATATATTACATTGACGAATTTCAACAGGATGAATTATAATTGTATCGATCTATAATATTCATGATTTCTTACACTGTTCTCTTCTATATTAATTCACTACTGGTCATGGTTAAATATGTTGAATCTTAGTGATATTTTACAAGTTGACCTCGATGATTAAATTTACAATAAAAACTTGTGCTACTGAATTATAAAAAGTAGTATTATTTCGAGTGTTCATTTGTGTTCGTCTTTTTTTTTTATTAAAAAAATCCGAATTAGACATTACTCTTTCAAGTGGAATTATCCGATATTCCAAATCAAGATGATCCCAATGAATCGACAAGTAATAAATCACGTTGTTTTCGAGTTATTTTACTAGCCAGATCAATAATTGAATATAATTATTGGTTAGATGGATTATTTTTATTAAATAAATTAAATGTAAGTTAATGTTTTTGAATTCTGATTAGATAGAATCTAATTCTGTTTTGATATAATTAACAATAATAAATCTTTGAATGACCAATAATTATTGATACCCAATAAAATATATTCGTTTGGTATTTGTAACAAAGGATACAGGGGTTTCGAGTGGTGGTTTCGATATTAACACAGATGAAGACATATGCAGCTGAAGAATTCTAAAGAGGGCAAAACTTGCCTGATAGATTCCACTGCTAGCCGAAATCCAACTATTCTATAATGGATTTATAGTTTATATCACAAACTACAATCACCGGAAACCAGGAATGGTCGTCTAAATATGGTCAATTTGTGATATAAACTACAAAGTTGGGTAATCTTTACAAGCTTTTTAAATTGTTAGTGATGCACTTATTCTGTAAGCATCTACTCTTTTTCTTTCATAAATAGAAATTATAGTGCCAAAAAGTCCGTATTAAAATCCCATCAAGTTAATTTCTACATCATCGTTTTGTTATATTATTCAGTTATCATATTATATTTTGAATGGTCATTTTGACTGTTACGTAGTCATATGTTTGTGTGGTATTTTATTACAATCAGTTATGAAAGAGTTCTGTATGGAAATGTTTTATGGTGGCCTGAGTTGTACAGTTTGAAGTTAATGCATTTATCTCAGAAGTTATGCTAACTTGTTAAATGTCAAAATATATTGTTAATCGTTAAACAGTTTCTTGTAACGTTAAGTTCGAATTCCTTAGTGTTAGCAGGTGGATTTTCTATAAAAATGGTTGCTATACAATAAGGTCGAGTTGAAATTATTTAACCCCTGTTGTATGCTTTTAGTTATATTAGTGAATCATTTCGATTCTGAAAACCAATTATTGATGGTAGATTCTACTCTCAATTAAAGAAGATTAATATTTAAGTTCCTTTTGGTAGGAGGCTTCAATATTTCTTCGCGAAAAGTTTTCAAAAGGCAGGAAAATGTTTAAAATATTTCCATCAATCTGCATACTTTAGAAACTTTCATGAGAATTTCAGGATGTGTTCCAGAGACTTCTGAAATCTCTTAATCATATACAGTCTTATAAATATCCTTATTTTCTGTATATAAATTAACCTTCAATGTAAAAGCCTTTATTTTTCAGTACAGTGTTCAAGAGTAACAGATCGCTAGAGATTAGGAAGTGGATATATAATCGTTCAACTGGATTGCTTATCATCTCTCACTAATGGGTTACAAATAATATGAAATGAGATTTTTTATTCTACTTACTTCTAACATTACGCTAATATCACATTGATTATGCATATATATATCATATGCATTCTTTACACATGTCAAGAAGGACAGAAAGAAACAAAAGAAATGTTACTTTTTGCTTTTTTTCTGAAAATAAAAATCTCGTTTTTTTTCTTTAACCAATTTTTATTTTATTCTATAGAATCCAAGTGATTATTACAATGAAGATGTGGAGCGTTTAACTGAACTAGACATGTGTATACGTCTTTCAAGTTTAGATTTAAATCAGTTGCCAAAAAGAGAAATCTCCATGCCTACAGATCCACCACCACCTTTGGATTTTATTTAATTTTATTATCCTCTTTTTTTTTCTTCTTTCAATATTCTTTGTGTAATTATCCACCTTGATTTTAAATAATTTTGGATTGATAGATTATATTGTTCATATATTTCATTGTTTGAACATTTAATAAATGAAGGTACATGTAAATTGATTATTTACCACCCAATCATTAATAACTGTGTACGAAATTTATCTCACTTTATTTTCAGCTTATTTTAAGTAGAAACAAATTGAATTATCTCATTATAATTTCTATTATAATTTCTTAATTATGTATAGTGGAAGCTTAATTATTCAAGTTTTAATTCATATTGTTTGTTTAAGTTTTCTAGAGACCTGAAAAGAATCTTTCTGTCTATTCACTTTATTATAATTCTTTCAGGTTATTACTAACAGTATTTTAATCGATATTATTTCTGATATTCATATACGTTTTGCTTACGAATCATCAGTAATCTTGAAGTAGATTACTGAAATCTTGTAATTTTCAATAATATGATCATCATCATCATCAACGTCACCCTGTTTGTACTCTGCATAATATCATGACTAATCGCCCTTTTTCTGTTAGATCTTTAGATCATTATCATCAATTGGTATTTACCTTCTATCTATATATAACATCTTGGATTGATTCTTATCAATAAGTGATAATTAATAAGCAAGATGCAGAAACAATCGTTCTGCTATTATTTTCCCCTTATTTTTTCTGTTTGTACACACAAAACGAAATGTACAGACAATGAAATAAACTTAGCCACAATTGATTGTTTTACCTCAAAAACAATAACTATTCTTTGTGTGAAATCAAATATTGTTATTTTTCTCGATTAAAATAAGTCGACTGCTTAGATTAACTCTGTAATAAATTATCTCGAGTGGTAAATTGAATGAGTTAACTCAAGAACTTTTTATACTGGTAGCACACTCGGTTGGCTACACAACATAATACTAGCGTTACTAGTACTCTAACGAATTTTGGATATATATATATATATATATATAGCTGACTGGGATTAAATAAACATCAGTTTATTCAGGGGAAATAGACCCTACACTCAATGTTTTAAGTGAACCATGCAATAATAACCTGTATCGATTGTAATTTTCAAGTAGTACGTCGGGAAATGGACAGAATATCTCGAGATAATATAGATGTCGTTTCCTTTTGTTCTACCGCTTGCTATGAAGATTGCAGGATATGTACGCTTTAGTTACACGTTGACCGCCAAAAATATTGATGAATATAGTCCATTTGCTCATATGAAGCTAGACATAGTAGTCAGACGTTTGAAATCTAACAATATTAAGATTTTACAATCAGGAAATCTGGTAGACTTCAAGCATAAGTTCTGCATAATGTGCCCTCAGCTGGGAGATAACTTTTACAAGATAATCAATAGTGGATAGTGCTTATCTATTTAAAAATTAGACACCGAATGATGATCGAGATCATGGGCTGTAATCCATCATAACTACTGAGGTAGGTCTACAATGTTCCAGGGAGATTTACATGACTGCTTAAAATGATTATCCTCACGAATAATTATTTATATCACCTGACCGTCAACTGTATTTTACAAGCCCCGTAATGACAAACTCAAAATGTACATCATCCAATATTAATCCATTTGACTTCTAAACGCCAAAAATAAACAATTCATAACTATCAAGAACAACCAACAAAAAATCTAGTATGGTAAGTCCTTCATCGACCCGTCAGTTTACAGGCTCTAAAATGCTATTTAGTAGTATTAATAAATCATTACCTACCATGGTGTCTAACATTTATAAGTCATTTTTGGGCCGAAACCAGGCAGCACTCTCTTAGATGGTAACTATTATTGCCGTTTTGGGATTTGTCGGCACACGTTACCTGTGACGTATCAGCGCTTTAATCGGATTTCATAAATCCAACGCGAGTTTGAGTTACATAATTTAATCTTAACAGTCATAATACGGAAAATACCATTTGTTGTTGTGTTTTAATATTAAGCTACATAGCTTCTGTTTCCAATCAATAGGGTGAGTAATGAAGAAGTCATGGTTAGTTCAACACATCAATATAGTGCTATTCTTGATAACAGAGCCAAATTCCTGTTATCTATGCTCGCGACTGTACAGAATCTCCGTTTGGGTAACAAGTTTAGTACCATAATCCATGGCAACAAAATCCAACTCAAGGCCTCCGCATGACGTTACCGGGTAGTGAGAGCAACCTTGCTAGCTAATTTGGGTGGTTGACGAGATTGAACTAATCCACTATTCTGCTGTTAACCGGATCGACTGGATCCCAAATTTAGGGCTGACTAAAATCTTGCGGGCTACCCGATGTGTATGCTTATGTGTAGTGTTAGTCATTAGTTTTAGCCCATAATATATCTTATTCTAGTTTCCGGACATTTCATTCTATTCATTCTACTTGAGTAATGTTTTGACCTTGTTAATTATTCGCTTATTAGCCTTGACTGTTTTCACATGAGCGTATATGTGTGTACACTTCATGTCCCATGACTCATCACATGTCTGTAGTTTATTTTGTCTGCCTATAAATATTGAGTAATGCCCGGCTTGAAATGGAGTTGGCTTCCCAGCCATCTTCCATACGTGTCATTTTTGCTTTGCTGTGCTTCATTCGCTTCATGTACGAAATATATGTATTCTCAAGTCAATTCTCGTTATTCGACTTATTTAATTCCGTTATTGGATAACGCGATTTAAGTCGACGATGATATACGAGAAAAGACGATAACAAACATCCATACAATCTAAAATGGAGTCAGAACCACGGGCCACTAAATATGTATATGAATTGTATGAGTTTCGGTTTGTGTAGTTTATGTTTGTAGGTATATGAAAAGAGTAGTTGTGTGGATTAGCACAAGGAATTTAGTGTCTGCCTCATGTCTAATCAAGTCAGCGGCCTAATGCTTCATGTTGAAGACAATAAAAAATATGGTAGCAAATACTACGGCGAGGTGACTATCAACCATCCCTGAGAGAGTGCTTACGCTTATGTCATGAAGTACAGGGCGACAGTCTTTGTACCAGTAATATGTATGTAATGTGTAAGTGACAGTCAGTTGTAGCATATACTTTCGAAGGGAGTGGTGATCATTTACTCATCCAGGTGAGTGGATATTTCTATATTTATGCTGAGGGGTGAATGGGTGAAAACATATGTGTTACCAGTGTGCATGTAGATTATACTTTCCCCTGGTGCGACACCTGCGCCCCAAGACCTGGGCGCAACAATTTCCCTATGAAATCACATCCACGCGGTTAGTTTGTGAACCTTGGGAAACGGAAACCATTTCAAAAAAAGCCAATTTGCTTTACCGTATAAGGCTAGATCAAGCTTAACAAAACTGGAAAACCGTAGCGTACCATAATACGTAAGTAAAAACACAGATATAAGTGCTGTGGTAGGGTAAGTATAAAATCCTGGCAACTAATTAAATACTTACTAAACTCATGCAGCATAAAAATAAAAATAAATGTATATTAATACAAGAGGAACGTTAAATATTTTGTTAAAATGTAAAACGAATTTAAATCAAATGGTAAATTCTAACATTTTAAAGATCACGGTTGTGATCAATGTTTAGAAAATTAGAGATATAATATGGCTTTTTTATAAATAAGAAAGTGATATCAACAGCAGTGTTATAACTTGTGATTTATTAATGTCTCCCAAACAAAATCTATACAGATTCGATGTTAGATGGAATTTCAAATGGATAGGCTTTGCGTGAGTGAAGCATAGTTGAACTGACCCTAAAAAACCATGATCTGGTTAAAATATCTTTGTTATCAGTTGTATCCATTGTTAACAGAGACAGTCACTTGGTATCAACTGTTTTGTGTGCAGACAATGTACAGTTGACAACTAGAGTTCTCGTAATCAAACAAAAAACAGAAGGATTGATTCGGAAAGGCCTACTTCTGTGACTTCTTTGGAATGGAAATGACAGGCAATAGGTCGGAAAAGCTCTTCTTCAGAATATAGTCCGATAATGGCTCACTTAAAGTAACTAGTCCAAAAGACCATGCAGCAATAATGATGAGTTACGAAGTGATATGGTGCAATAAAATAATGTTGCAGATATATCAACTGATTACGTATGATAAAGCAAAAGTGAGAATTAAGTAGGTTACCATTATTATTTGAGAATGAAAAATAACTGGTAGTTTGTTGTAAAAGGATTTAACTAGGTATTTAGTACAGTTGCGAGTCATAGAATTAATTAATTGTGGTGAGTTTAATTGTGTACAAGAAAAATAGTGTATATGTGTCCTAAAATAAATTATTTGATTGGAGTATAAACCGATACGACCATACATATAAAGAGACGAAGCTACATTATAGGTTATGTTTTAATGCTTCTTTGGAATATAAGTGATTTAGCGAATCGTGGAATGTCGAACAGTATTGCAAGTTGCGCTGACGCACGAAGCACAAGTTATTACAAGCGCCACAGCAAATCCCTGCTAACGTATCTACCGACTTGTCATATGCAGTGTCACCTTGACTTGCAGCTGTACTTCAAATGAAACAGATAATTGAACGTGTACGACATAACTTATGCACCCTTATCAAATCAAGATTAATTGGATGTATCAAATCTACTGTGTGGATGTGAGACGATTGTGATAGGAAAGGATTTCCTTCTACATGATAATGAACTGTATGGAAAATATTTATAGATTTTTTCTAGCAACTAGAATCTTTAGTTACTGAACAGTTGTCTTCATTAGTTTATTGATGGTATATTCAAATCCTGACTACTTTTCATTACTCAGATCTACACATTTCATTCTACTAAATTCAGTTAGATTATTCGTAATGCATTATATCACTCACAAATTTCTCCACCCAATATTTTCAATATTTTTGTCAACAGCTTATATAGACGATTGTCTCAAAAATAAATAATCAATTTACTAAATTGATAATATGTAAAAAGGCGGTGTGGAAAAAAATAAGGGGAAACGGAGATGATACTAAGAGAGAAAAGAAGTAGTTACTGATATTCAGTGATGACAAATCTAATTTATGAGACATGTATCAGACACGGCTGGTCCAATACAGAGACGGTAATCCGTGGGTGAGTACGTGTTTATCAAGTCTCCTCTCATAGTTACTCACTATTTGGGTGGCTCGACGTGCTTAGTATGTTGCATGCCATTAACAGACCACCTCTTATTCTTATGTAGCTCAACGAGAATAAATCCAAGTGTTGTGGTAAATCCTTATAAGATCTATGTTTTAGACCCATCAGTCACTTGGTCGTCCTTTTCTGTACTTAGTCCGAGAGACCAACCGGTATTCTTGCTTTTCAAGCCTCAGATGAATTAGCGAAGACCGTTTATTTACGCTATCAAGAGCACTCCCCTATTACCCAGATGATGATTTCAAAGAAAAAACAATCATGAATCTTATCCGGCAATGTTTGTGGTGATGATAAATATGAAACACTTCTAGTGATGGTGTCCGAAGGAGTAACAGGCGTAAATAAGTAACCGCTTGGTGATGAATGTGGTAGTCTACCAAGTTAAGGTTTTCTACAATAGAACCGCCTTTATGTTCGTGTTGAATATTATGACATTGATGTCGGCTGACAGTTGATTAAAATTCCGAATGTCCCTGAGCTGTAAACGTCTATCCCTGATTTACCAATCCTTTTTATTACATCGACACCAAGTCCCCCTTGTTTATCGATGATGCTTAGTGCTTAAGCTGATATGTTCCTGGTCCCTTTGCTTTCCCTCTCTTAACCTTTAAGATGGTCATGTTAACTTATTTTATTATTGGTGAAGTAACATCTATGGAAGATCTGTGTGTACTACCTCTATGTCACATGGATTCAGTAGGATTGGTCTATCGATGAG